AAGCGCTCCGAAACTCTTCGAGAGGGCCGTGGCGCCAAGGACATCGTCCAGAGCCGCCGAACCCCTAGAGATTCTCAGTCTATCCTCACCCGATGTCACCCTCGTCCTGGCTTCGTCTCCAGGTGCGCCAGGAAGGGTCCGGGAACCGCGCGGACGGAAGGCGGGAAGGAGACAATAGCGAGGAGGAGGAGGAGGAGGAGGCCAAGGAACCGGATTGTGAGGGGCAGGAGCAGGAGAAAGACGACGACGGCATCAAGTCGACAACCAGTCAAACGACGACGACCACGACGACGACGGCCACGACTACGACGACGCTGACGCCGACGCCGACGCCGACGCCGACGCCGACGCCGATTCCGACGCTGACGCCGACGCCGACGTCGACGTCGATGCCGGCGGCGGCGGCGGCGGGCGGCGGCGGGAGTTAAGGGAAGTGGGGGGCGAGAGTGCGGGAGGCGTCGAGGCGGGAGCGCCCCGCGGGGAGGCCGAAGGCGCATGGCCGGAAAGGGTACGAGGGAACCTGCTCGGGCGCCGCGTGGCGGGGCGGCGTCGCTGACCTCCTCGAAGCCGGCAGATTGTCTGTCACACGCCTCCTCCTCCTCCTCCTCCTCCATCCCTTTTCCTTCTAGTTTTTCCCTGTCGCACCCCGAGTCCAGTTCATAGGGCGGGCCGGGCCGTTCGCCTCAGGCCTCCTCACCGCTTATGATTCCGAAGCTTAATGGCCAGAGCTTCGCGGATTGAGGGCCGGTGGTTTGCAAAATGTGGCTCTCCCCGGATCGCCGCGCGCAGTCGCTTTAACATTTGCAAGAGCTTCACGGAATGAGGGCGGGTGGTTTTCAACATGTGGCTCTCGCTTCAGCGCCGCGCACATTCGTTTTGAGCACTTGCAATTGTTTCACGGATTGAGGGCGGGCCGTTTTCAAAGTGTGGTTCTGGCTTTAGCGCCGCGCACATTCGTCATTCGTTTAAACATTTGCAAGAGCATCACGGATTGAGGGCGGGTCGTTCTCAAATTGTGGCCCTCGCTTCAGCACCGCGCACACTCGTTCCATACTACTGCAAGAGTTTCACGGATTGAGGGCGGTTCCTTTTCAAAATGTGGTTCTCGCCTCAGCGCCCCCACATTAGTTTTCACAATTTGCAAGAGCTTCACGGATTGAGGGCGGTTCCTTTTCAAATTGTGGCTCTCCGCCTTAGCGCCGCGCACATTCGTTTCACACGTTTGCAAGAGTTTCACGGATTCCCTTGATCAGCGTAGCAGACATGGCGTTTTGGAAGGATTCGGGATGATGCTGGTGCAACAGTTATTCGCGGTGCTAAAATCCCCGAAATGGCGTTCTGGCGCGATTCCAGATCGTCAGGATGCAGCAATCAGGTTGATCCATGGCGTGGAAATCCCGAGAACAATGATTGGGCATGCCTCAAGGTCTACAAACGGTTGTCTTCCAACGAGGCGGTTTCTTCAATGAAAATGAACCGTTGTAGGGGCCTGTGAAGAGGGAGCTTGGAGGGAGGGTTAATTCCAACATCGTTGATGACTCTTGAGTTTACACTTGGTATCCTCCTCCTCCTCCTCTTCTTCCTCCTTCGGTTCATCGGTCCTTTGGTCTTTTCGCCTCCCCTCAACCTGGCTTGGTCAGGCGCCCCATAAGGACAGGGACGGGGTACGCGGGACCGGCCCGCTTGCCGCCGCCGCCCGTCGGCCGCGCAGGGATGCACCCCCCTGCGGCGTCGCGTAGCGGGGGGGCGATACAGTCGGCCCGGATTGGTAGGTCGACCTTGCCAGCTCAAGGGCACCCTTGTGTCCTGTGCCTCGCGATGCGTGCCTTCTTACACTCCTATGGCAACGTGGCCCTCGGAAGGGCCTGTTGCCATCCTGTTCGCGCATCCTGTCCTCTCGCGCATCCTGTTCAATCAAGTCCGACTGTACAGTCGGGGCGCTGAAGAAGGAACCCTTTTCGTTGGGGAGGGGCTCGGTGTTCCGTGATAGTGTCACAGCTTGCCTCAGGTCTTCCTTGTGCTTTCGATGGGATATCGAAGTTCAACTTATGGAAAAAAAGGGGCCTCGTTCCTCATTTGGGGTTTCTTAGGTCGAAGCCCCGACTGTACCTCCCTCCCAGTCCCTCCCTCCCTGCCTCCCCTGGAGGACCAATCCAATCCGATCCTTCAATCCTCCCTTCCTCCCTCCTCCCTCCCTCACTCCTCCCTCCTCCCTCTTCCTTCCTCCCTCCTCTCCTCCTGGTCAGCGAGGGCTGCACGCCAAAGACGCCACGCCAGAGATCCCCATGGGTTGGGGGGCGGAGCGCGCGGGGAGCGCTGCTCGCTGGGCGGGCTCGCCGCCCGCAGGGCGGGCGAGCGACGCGCGCGTGGCTCGCCGCGGCCCGCGGGGGGCGCGCAGGTGCAGCGACACCCCACGCCCCACCCCAACCAAAATTAGGTCGGGCCTGTCCCCCCTACAGGGGGATGTCGGACGGAAAATTAGAAAAATAGTCAAAACATTTGCCAAGCATATCCAACACATACCCAACAAGTTGTCCCCCGGCTATTGGTTCAACTATTTTTGGAATATCCCTCCTGCAGAGGGACAGGCCCGACTTCAAACTACAGGAGCGGCGAAGGGTGAGGGGAAGAGGAAAACGCCGCCACAGCGGCCCGACGACGCGCGCGCCCTGCGGCACTGCGCGTCAGACGCGGGGGTATCTGTACCCCTCCACCGCGGGGGGGAGCAAGGATGTGGTGAGCACGAACAGGACGGGGAACACGAAGTCCAGGAAGACCCGAGGCGAGCCCCAAACCACAACTCCCCCCCCCAAACCTGGCCCAGCCCGCCCCGGCACGGGCGCCGCGGCGAACCGTAGCGCCCACGGCGGGGCGGCAGGGGAAAGGGTTCCCAGGCCCGTGGTTTGCGACAGCGAACAGAACTGCGCTGTGTTCTCGCCGATCAGGGGCCCCTCAAGGGCCCGATATGTGCACCCTTCGAAATTCTGGCGCGACCATGCCGAAGACGGTTTGATCGGAAGCAAAGCGTGGTCAAACATATTGCGGTGCCAAGACCAGCGTGGAAGCAACACGCGGGAGATGTAGCCCCCCGCGCTGAACAGTTTCAGGTGGACAGGAGCGTAGTACAAACACGTCGGTCGTTGAAAGTAGGTAGTTTGGGATTCCCATATCCCAACATAGTTTAGGCGTCTTCCCATGTCAATCATCGAGTGTTTTTTCTTTTCCCTTCCTCCTGAGGGGGCGGTCGTAAGCCACATCTTCTTCCAACGCCTTCCTACTTGCTGTTTCTACCAACTTCTCCCGATCAGCGGACACTTCTATTGAGCAGTGGGTGAGCAGAGGGTCGCGCGAGTGAGACATGGACGGTGGAGGAGGGGGAGGAGGAGGGGGAGGAGGAGGAGGAGGGTAGGAGGAGGAGGAGGAGGAGGAGGAGGAGGAGGAGGGCGGAGGAGGAGGAGGGAGGAGGAGGCCGGAGGAGGAGGAGGAGGAGGAGGAGGAAAGGGAGGAGGAGGAGGAGGAGGAGGAGGAGGAGGAGGGAATGTTCTTTCGTTCTTGGGAATTCGTTTGTGGGCTGTTGGGAATTTGTTCTTTCGTTTGTGGGCTGTTTGCCGGATTACTGGTCGCTGGCCGCTCCCTGTGTTGGGCGGTGAGGAAGCACCCATCACGCTGAACAGGTGTGGAGCTTGCCCTTGCCACGAGGTTAGTATCGTCCATGCCTTCACGGCGTGTGCGGGCACTGCAGAGCTTCGCGGGAAGTTTTGGCGGAAAGCTTCCATGCCGCCAGTGACGGCAATTGGCATGGTGTTGGGTGCCCTGTTTGGGCCCTCGCGGGAGGCGGAACACGTGCGTTTCGTAGCGAGAGCGATCCTGGCATGTGGGCGGGGCTGCGTGCCCGGAGCTGCAGGCGGGCGGGGTGCTGTTATTGCTGATGGTGGAGCTGGGGGCGCGCTGGTCGTCCGGTAGGGGTTGGCGGGTGAAAGACCCCAGCCCTGCCCCTGCCGGACGCGGCCCTTCTCTGAGCCGGCCGGCGCGCGGCCGGCAGATGAGCGCCACAGCGGAGAGAGAGAGAGAGAGAGAGAGGAGGAGGATGAGGAGCAGGAGGAGGAGGAGGAGGCAAGAGAGAAGGAGGAGGGAGGTAGGAGAGGAGGAGGAGACGGAGGAGGAGGGGAGGAGGGGGAGGAAGGAAGGGGGGGAGAGGCAGGAGGAGGGAGAGGAGGAGGAGGAGAGAGGAGGAGGAGGAGAGGAGGAGGGAGAGCATAGGAGTATGAGGGAAGGGTCGGAGGAGGAGCAGGCGGGAAGGGATGAGGAGAGGAGGAGGGAAGGAGGAGGAGGATGAGGTAGGGAGGAGAAGGGAGGGGGAGGAGGAGGAGGAGGAGAGGAAGGAGGAGGACATGAGGAAGGAGGAGGTAGGAAGAGGAGGAGGAGGAGGGAGGGAGGCGAGGAGGAGGAGGGGATGCGGAGTTATAAGGATTATTGGTTAGGTCGGATGTGAGTCGGAGCAGGAAGAGTCAGAAGGAGGGAAGGGAGGAGGAGGAGGGGAGAATGCAGCAGGGGGTCGAGATGGTGGCGAGCGGCTCGGAGCCGCGGGGAACGCTGGCGCCCCGGCCCCCGCGGCCGAGGCTCGAGCTCGCGCGGGCGGCGGCGGCCGCGGCGTTCCCGCTCGCGGTCGTGGGAGAACAGGCCGAGGAACGCGCCCCGCAGGGGGTCGTCCTCCATATTCCTGTTCCTCCTCCTCTCTCCTCCCTACTCCTCCTCTTCCTCCTGGTCCTTCTCCTCCTCAATTTGCCTCCTGGTCCTCCTCCTCCTCCTCGCCCTCCTCCATCCCGCTCTCTCCTCCCTCCTCCTCTTCCTCCTGGTGCTCCTTCTCCTCCTTATCCTCCTCCTCCTACTCCTCCTCCTCCCCTTCCCCCTCCCCCTCCTCCTCCCTCCCTCCTCCCTGCTCTTCCTCCTCTTCCTCCTGGTGCTCCTCCTCCTCCTCCTTCTCCTCCTCCTCGGTCGGTCGGTCGGTCGGTCAGAGCCAAAGGCCAGTTCAGATCGAAGCATGGTCTAGGTATGGGGATCCAGGGCAAAGGAAAATGATGGGAGCGCTCCACACGGAGCTGCTGCAGGGCACGTAGAGTTAGACATCGGGGGTCAAGCCCAACGCGAGATCAAGCAGCACAAACAAGGGAAGCAGAGACGGTCACAATGCAGAGAACGGGTCCAAGGGCTTCCAACGCTCATATCCACCCCCAATATTTTCACACAATTCGCCCATGCCGTTGCACAGAAGACCCTTCTCCCACTCAGTGGTGAACTTCTTCGCGATCACATCCTAAATCCATAACGCAGGCAGAGAGCGTTGCCGATTCACTACCCTGCCTCCTTCTCCTGCTCCCTCCACCAGCTCGGAGGATCAACAGGTACCGTTCGCCCGTTTTCGGTGTGTGGACCTCCTGGGAGGAGGCCTTCGTCGCGGCGGCTGGATTCGCCTCGAAGTCATGGTCAGAACGCACTATGGGAGAGGTTGGGGGAGTAGCGGTCTCGGTATTTTTTGGCTTCGCCGTTCCAGCTTCCTCCTGATCCGCCGCCTCCTCCTCCTCCTCGCCCCTCTCCTCCTCCTCTTCCTGCTCCTTCTCCTCCTCCTCCTCCTCCCTCTCCTTCTCATCCTCGTTCTCCTCCTCTTCATTCTCCTCATTATCCTTCTATTCGTAGTCGTTTTCTGTTCCTCCCCTCAAGCTGGCTGGTGACGCGCAAAGCTGGGGGCACCTTGGACCAGGGGCACCTTGAGCAACACTCGACCTGCCGCACCCTCCAGGGGGTCGGGGCAGTTTCCGCCCGCCGAGGGCGCTCCCGAAACCTTGCGGGCTCAAGAAGTCCTCCTCCCTCCCCAGACCCCCTCGCGTCGTCACACACACACAGACACACACACACACACACACAGACACACACACAGACACACACACACACAGACACACACAGACACACACACACAGACACACACACAGACACACACACACACAGACACACACACACACAGACACACACACACACACAGACACACACAGACACACACACACACACACAGACACACACACAGACACACACAGACACACACACACACACACAGACACACACACACAGACACACACACACACAGACACACACACACACACACAGACACACACACACACACTCACACAGACACACACAGACACACACACACACACACACAAAAAACAAAAAACAACAACAAACTCGACGGGAGCGGTCTCGCCCTCTTCGGCCTCCAGGGGCCCTTTTTGCCGGGCCTCGGGGCCGTCGACAACAGACAGACGATTCCGGGAGGAGAAGCCGGTCCTGGGAGGAGGAGGAGGAGGAGGAGGAGGAGGAGGAGGAGGAGGAGGGCAGAGGTCGCGAGGTCGGGGGCCCGAGCTTCCAAGGAAAAATCCGCGGCGCGCCGGAGGTCGGGGGCCCAAGGGAGGCATCCTCCCGCCTCCCTCCTCCCCCCCTGGCGTCTCGGGCTGCAGCCAGGGAGAGGCGCAGGCGGCGCGTGGCCCCCTCGGCCTCTTGCTCCGACCCTCTGGGAGAGAGAGAGAGAGAGAGAGAGCGAGAGAGAGAGAGAGCGATAGAGAGAGAGAGTGAGAGAGAGAGCGATAGAGAGAGAGAGATAGCGAGAGACAGAGAGATAGAGAGAGAGCGAGAGAGAGAGAGAGAGAGCGAGAGACAGAGAGCGAGAGAGAGAGAGAGGGCGCACGTCTGCACGCCACAGCCAGCCAGCGTTCGCCGCCGCCGCCCCGCCGTCTCCACCTCTCCCCCCCCCCGTCCGCTCGCGCACGCGACGAGGGAGAGGAAGGGTTTCCCTCGGGTGCTGCGCGTTGGCGGCTCGGGTGCCGATGTCCCGGAGCACAGGGTGGCAGGGAGTTGCGACTGGGGGGCTGGGGAGCCAGGGAAAGAGCCAGGGGGAGGAAGAGGGGGATGGACAGGAGGGGAGAGGGAACGATATAGGATGGAGACGGAAGAGGGGGAGGATTGGATTGTATTGGACCTATCGCGAAGCGCATCCACAGGATGATGATGCTGATGATGATGATGATGATGCTGATGATGATGGTGATGATGATGATGATGTTGACGACGACGATGCTGCTGATGATGAGGATGACGAGGACGAGGACGATGATGATGATGATGATGATGATGATGATGATGATGGTGGTGGTGCTTATGATGTTGAATGCTGATGGTGATGATGGTGGTGAGGAGGAGGATCAGGATGGTGATGATGCTGATATCGATGATGATCACGATGATGAGGATGATGCTGATGATAAGTATGATGATGGTGGTGATGATGATGCTGCTGCTGATGCTGCTGCTGCTGATGCTGATGCCGATGATGATGAGTACGATAACGACGACGACGACATCAACGACGACGACGACGACCACGGCGACAACGACGACCATGACGACGACGTCGATGCTGATGATGACGACGATGATGATCATGGTGGTGGTTGTGATGATAATTATTATGATCATCATAACGCTCATGATGATGACCATCATGATGATGACGATCCGATGACGATGACGATGACGATGATTATGAGGCTGATGATACTGATGATGATGGTGATGATGCTGCTGCTGATGATGATGATGGTGATGCTGATGATGATGATGATGATGCTGATGATGATGATGATGATGATGATGATGACTACGACGACGACGACGGCGACGAGGACATCGACGACGACTACGACGATGGTGCTGATATTGATGATGCGGATGCTGATCATTGTGATGATGCTGATGGTGGTGGTGATCATGATGATCAGTATGATTATGATGACGATGATGATGCCCATGCTGATGATGATGGTGCTGATGATGATGTTGATTGTGATGGTGACAATGCTGATCATGGTGATGATGGTGTTGATTATCATGACGAAGGTGATGCTGCTGATGATGATCATGACGACAATACTGATGATGATGATGCTGACGACGATGATGATGACGACGTTGTTGATGGTGATGGCGATGATGTTGATGCTGTTGTTGATGATAGCGATGATCATAATGATGATGAGTATGATGATGCTGCTGATGAGGATGATGATGGTGATGTTGATGATGGTGACGATGATTATTATGATGACGGTGATGACGATGATGCTGATGCTGATGATGATGATGATGATGATGATGCTGATGATGCTGATGATTATGATGCTGCCGATGATGATGGTACTGCTGGTGATGATAATGCTGATGCCGATGCTTATGCTAATGCTGGTGATGTGGAGAAAGAGGAGGAGGAGGAGGATCAGGAGGAGGAGGGGGGGTGAGGAGGAGAAGGAAGCCGAGGAGGAGGAGCAGACGCAGGAGGAGGATGAGGAGGACGAGGGCGAGGATGAGGACTGGGCCGAGGAGGAGGAGGAGGAGGAGGAGGAGGAGGAGGAGGAGGGAGAAGGAGTCGGGAGGGAGGAGTAATTGGCGGCAATTGCATGCGCGGCGTAGGGGACGCAAGGCCCGAGCAGAGCAGCACGAACCACGACCACGCCGACGAAGACGAAGAGGGGGAGGAGAGAGAGGAGGACGAGGAAGAGGAGGAGGAGGATGAGGAGGAGGAGGAGGAGGCGGAGGAAGAGGCGAAGGAGGTATGAGGAGGAGGGGGGTGAGGAGGAGGGAGAGGAGGAGGAGGGAGGTAACATGGGAGAGGAGGAGGAGGAAGGTCAGATGAGATAAGACCGATCGCGAAGCGACTTAACGATACCGAAGCCCCTGCCGCCGCGGCTCCACGACTCACACGAAGAGGACGAAGAGCGAGAGCTGCATTGCAGGGGCCACTACGAAGTCCGAACTCGCCGAACTTCCCGCAGCAGAGCACGACCTAGCCGAAGAGGAGCTGCATCACCCACTCCATACAGCTCGCCTCAATCATTGGACACAGCACCTATTACTGTTGCTTGCATTGATCGTCAACTGTTGGACTGCAGCTACCGATCTTGATCAAGCAGACGGTACGAACATGTACGTAGGTGCAGGTTGCGGCTCGAGCACGGAGATGGCGGCGAAAGCGGCACCAGCAGCCTCCGCATGGCTCGCTTCCTTCGCCGCCTCAGGAGTGACCCCCTTCGGCACGACGCGATGCCCACGCCAATCTCTGCGCACTGGGCCGCTTGCCCTGCCCACGGCATCACGCGCCTCCTCAGTCTTCGGATGCAACTCCTCGGAGGTTAGATTCTGATTTTGCGCCGGTCCGAAATCCGGCTTACTCCCGTTCAATCCCGCTCAATCCGGCTTTAAACCCGCTTAATCCGAGGCCCACTCTGGCGCAGCAGCTCCCACATGGGGCTGAGTCCTCCTTACTCTTTCCGACGGAAACCTCCCAGCGGTGGCCTCCTCTCAGGAGGGAAAGAAACACACAGACACAATTAATCGTCGACTCCCAGGAAAATATGCAAAAATATGGGAAGTGGTGGGGAAGACAAAAACCCAGAAAATATGGGAAAATATGGGGGATCTGTTTATTTGTGTGTATTTATTTGTGTGTTCCAGTTCCCCTTCATCCTCATCAGTCCCAGCCTCGCGCATGACCGCGCCCAGTCCGCCTTCGAAGGGACCGTCGAAGAGGCCACCTCGCCGCCCCGCGCGGCCGGCACCCACCGGCCCCGCTGCGCTCTCGCCGCGCCGCTGCTCGACCCCCCGCCGCACTGTTGCACGAAGTTCGGCGTCGGGCTGCCGGTGCTCGGCGTCGGGCTGGGCGTTCGGCGTGCCCTGCCCTACTCCTCCTTCTCCTCCTCCTCCTTCTCCTCCTCCTCCTCCTCCTCCTCCTCCTCTTCCTCCTCCTCCTCCTCCTCCTCCTCCTCCTCCTCCCCCCCTTGCCCTAGCCCTACTTGCCTGCGCATCGGCCGCCCCGTACAGTCGGCCCGGATTGGAGGAGGTCGACCCTGCCAGGTGCAAGGGTGCCCTTGTGCCCTGTGCCTCGCGGCACGTGCCCTCTTACACTCGTGTGGCGATGTGGCCCTCGGAAGGGTCTTGTGTCCTCTCGCGCATCCTGTTCAATCAAGTCCGACTGTACATGGGTGGTCAGCGAGGGCTGCACGCAAAAGACGCCACCCCAGAAATCCCGATGGGTTGGGGGGGAGCGCGCGGGGAGCGCTGCTCGTTGGGCAGGCGCGCGCCGCAGGGCGGGCGAGCGACGCACTCGTGTGGCGATATGTGGCCCTCGGAAGGGTCTTGTGTCCTCTCGCGTGCCCTGCCTGATCAAGGCCGACTGTACTCTCTGAGGTCGTGCGGCGGAGGTGTCGTGTGGCGCTGGAAGCACTCCGCGTCGGCTCGGAGCGCGCTCGGCCGCGCTGCGGCACGGGGCGTCCCCGTGCCGCGCGGCTCCCCCGCGCGCATCGCCGTGCACGACGAGAGGGCGACCGCGCCGCAGGTGCACCGCGTGCCGAAGGTCGGCCACGCGCAGAGGGGGGTGGGGGGAGGGGGGAGGGCTTCTCAGAAGCACCCCTGCTTCTTAGGAGGCGCGGGCCTTCTCTCTATAGATGTAGGGCTGGCGCCTTCTGAGAAGCAGCCTCCTCCTAAGAAGCCCCCCCCCCCCCCCCCACCCCCTGGTGCGCGCCGCCGAGAAGGGCCGGTTGGAGTCCACCATCGGTTCCCAGCGCCCCGTTCCGAGGCAGAAGACGGGGGCGTCCTCGGGGAGAGCCGGGGGCGCCGTCGTGGCCCCTGCAGGCCGCCAGACCCTCGCGCTGGGGCCTGTCGAGCTCCTGCGGGGCGCCCTCGGCGGCCTCCACGGGGACGCCGGAGGCGTGCGGGTGCAAGTGAGCGCTCGGCTCCGGCAGCACCAGGGGCCCACACTCCTGCGAGGCCAGCAGCCAGCACGGGCACGCTGAGCCGAAGGCGGCGCCGCAGCTCGCCACATCGGCCTCCATGCCCCCCCGAGGAGCGCGCCTCGGCATCCTCCTCCAGCGCCGAGACGAGGCCGTGCGCCTCGTCGAGCTGGGCCTGGAGGTTGGTGATGGCTGCATCCGCCGCCTCCCGGGCCCGCCAAGCCGCAGCTGAGCGCGCTGCCGTCCGCGTCCAGGATCGCTGTCCAGCGACCCCGCCCGTGCCATCCCTGCTCCGTGAGCCAGAATCGGGGGTGGACAGAACCCCCAACAGTGACACGTCGATTAGTGAATTGTCCGTTTTCGGTTCTCGAGAGGGCGCCGTGGCCGCTATTTTCCAGGGTTGCGCCCGCCAGGTTTGGGCCTCAGGTCGTTTTCACTAAACCACGTTTTACTAAAGGGGGTTCTGTCCATCCCCGACAGAAGCCCTCCTCCCCCGTCCCTCACGCCCGCCGCGTTGCCCCGTGAACTTGGGGTCGCAGGGCACTCCGAGGGGCAGGGTCCAGGAGGGGGGGGCCTTCGGAAAGGCATGAGCCAAAATGGCGACGGAGAGGATGAGGGAGGGAAGGAGAACGGAGGAGGAGGAGGAGGAGGAGGAGGAGGAGGAGGAGTAGGAGGAGGAGGAAGATGAGGAAGAGAGGAGGAGAAGGAGGAGGAGGGAGGAAGAAGGGAGAAGGAGGGATGAGGAGGAAGAGGAGGGAGGAGGAAGAAGGAGGATGAGGGAGGAGGAGGAGGAGGAGGAGAGGCAAGGAGGAGGAGGAGGTGGAGGAAGACGAGGGAAAGGAGGAGGAGGGAGGAGAGGAGAGAGGAAGGAGAGGAGGAGGGGGAGGAGGGAGGAGAAGGAAGGAGGAGGGGGAGGAGGGAGGAGAGCGGTGGAGGGAGAGGAGGAGGAGGAGGAGGAAGAACGAGGAGGAGGATTTCGAGAAGGAGGAGGAAGTGGAGGATGAGGAGGAGAAGGAGTATGAGAAGGAGGAGGAGACGGAGGAGGAGACCGAGGAGAAGGAGGATGAGGAGGAGGAGGAGGAGGAGGAGGGGGAGGGAGTTCACAATTCCCTGTGAAAGGTTGCATCGCATCGCACCAGGAAAGCTGCAGGGTAGGAGGCACAGATGCCCTGGGCGCGCGCTCCAGCGGCCTGCCCTGGAGAAGCGGGCAAGCGGGGGGGGTGCGGGGGCGCAGGCGGACGAGGTCGAGGCAGGCAGGCAAGGCAGGCAGACAGGCAGGCAGGCAGGCAGGCAGGCATGCAGGACGACGACGACGACGAAGACGACAACGACGACGTTGGCCTCGGTGGGCCTCGCCGCCCCCGGCGCGCGCTCCAGGCCGGCCGAGCCCTCTGTCCGCGGCGGCGGTGCCCAGTCGCCGCCGCGCGCCAGCGCGGAGGGCAAGCGGCCGGCGGCGCCCTCGCGTGTCGCCGCGGGCCGCGGCACGGAGGAGGACCTCCGCTTGGCTGCTCTGCCCCGCCCTCTCCGCCAGCTGTCTTTCTCCTCCTGTTCCTCGCCCTCCTCTTCCTCCTCCCTCTTCCCTCGTCCCCCCCCTCCCCTCCTGCCTCTCTTCCTCCTCATGCTCCACCTTTGTCTCCTCTTCCTCTCTTTTCTCGCCGCCCTCCTCCGTCTCGTCCAACTCGCCTTCCTCCTCCTCCTCCTCCTCCTTCTCCTCCTCCTCCTCCTCCTCCTCCTCCTCCTCCTCCTCATCCTTCCTCCGGAACGCGTGTACCATGTGCGGCGGGGTGCCACAGCACGGGCCACGCGAGCTGAGGGGCCCCCGCCCCCCCCCCCGCGCAGGCATCCAGGGGGGCCCGCTGCCGGCGGTACCGCGTGCTCGCCCCGTCGCGCCCTCGTCTCACCTGCCAAGCAGTGGCGAAGCGTCCTGGTGGGCCTATACAGCCGGGGCCCTGAAGAAGGAGCCCTTTTCGTTGGGGAGGGGCTCCGTGTTCCTTCATTGTTTCACAGTTTGCCTCAGGCTTTCCTTATGTTTTCGATAGGAAATCGAAGTTCAACTTATGGAAAACAGGGACCTCGTTCCTTATTCAGGGTTCCTTAGGTCAACGCCCCGACTGTAGGCCCACCAAGCAGTGTTCTAAGAGCCTTTTGTGGTCTGCGCGACATATTCTCAGAACACGTCTGGCCGGAGCTGTCTTGTTTCAGCACATCGGATCTATGTTCTCTAAGATCATCGTGTTTGGTCTAAGAACATTTTTCGGGTTCTAAGAAAATGTCGTGGTAGGTGTATTGAAATGCAGGGACGGTCGGTCCCTGCTCAACACCTTCCCTCCTCCTTCTCACCCCTCCCTTTGCTCCTGTGGATGCCGGTTGTCCGCGGCAGTCGAAGACTTCTCGCTCAGGCTCCTCTCGGTATCGTAGTTGGGGACGCACCCCTCGAAACCCGAAGGGAACGACCTATATCCCCATCTAGGGGGGTTAAATCGGCCAGTGGGGCCCAGGCCACGCAGCTAGGGATGGGGATCGGTCAAACGATACTCATCCTCCGCTCTCCAGGGCAGGACCAGCGGTGCCTCCTTGGGAGTCGTTGGTAGTCTCTCGGGGGCCCTCCGGCACGGTTTTTAGGGGGTATTGGACTCGTCCTGGGTGGTCCTGGGCGGAGAGAGGGTCATTGGAGGTATAGTCAACGCGCCTGGTAAGGACGCGCGCCTTCATCTAGGGTACCCTTGGGGCCCTGCCTCTGTTGTCCGTCCTTTGGTGGCCGCCCGCCGCCCAAGAGATCCCGACTTCGGCCTCCAAGGGTCCTGCGTCCTTACCACCCGTCCTTAATACACGTTTTTCATCGAGCGCGTTCCTCTACTTGCAAAATGCCGACTCACAAACGCCAGAAAAAAAACACATGTCTGCTTCAATGTAATGTATCGTAGATCCCCCGCGGCGGATCCAGGCCAGTTGCGAGTAGCTACTTTGCGAGTAGTGGAACGCGCTCGTCTAGCTTTGACTGCATCTCTGGTCGGTCTTCTCGGGGCTGTCTGGTTGATCCTGCAGTTGTCTGGGGGGGCCTTGGGCCTTGGGCTACCCTGGGGCCCTCTGGGCGATCGCTCCTGCGGCTTCGGTCTCGCCTCGAGCGGCCCAAAGGCCCTTCGGAGGCCAATCCAGGCAGTCCTGCGCCATCCAGGGTAGTAGGATCGGGTATGGCCAGGACCCCAGTTAAGGGGACCCGGTTAGTGGTAGGGCCCCGGAGCCCCTAAATTGGCCAGAGTCACTGAACCAGCTCTGCCGTAACCTGTGTTTTTCGGGTGACGGCAGTTCCGGTCAGTGGAACGGGGCGGGGGGGGCGTCCCCCAGTACACATCACTAAGCCAGGTTCCACTAAACCCACTTCTGCCAACGCCCGATACGAGGGCAGCACATTCGATGTACACCGCGCATTAGCGGGCGAAGACTGGTATAACATAAATGTTGCGCTGTCGGGGGCGCCTGTCCCAGGGCGGCTGGAAAATTTTGCCCTTACGGTGGTACGTCAAGGTATAAACTTTCCAGCCACCCTGATGCAGCGCCCCCAGCGACGGAACATATCATTGTATACCGTTCTTCGCCCGGTAATTGTACCCAGAGGAGCCAGAGGTCATCACAATGCTTCGCTCTGATCTTTCCTGGATTCTCTTCTGCCCCGCACGGGCTGCAGAAACGAGGGCCGCCAGATACTCCAGAACTTCTGGAACGCATCGTGAGCCAATAGGATCATGACGTCATTATCGTCCTATGTTTGGACGGGGCTAACACGAGGACAAATCCGTTCCAGAGCGCAGGGCTGGACTTAAAGGCTGCTTGACTGGACTTCGACTGTGTTTTGTTGTTCGTTTTGGCAGGGAGGTACAGGAAAACAGGTGGAGCAAAAAGAACAACAAAACGAAAGCAACACGAACAACAATGTTAGGCCCAGCCCTTCCAGAGCGTTCCGGAACGCTCTCAGAGCGTTCCGGAACGCTCTGAGAAGGCCGCGGCGCCCGAGACATCCTCCAGAGCCGCCGGGTCTCAGAGATTGTCTATTTGTCCACGTCATGGCTTCGTCTTTCTATTTCTGTTGCTGCTTCGTGGGGGCCCGCTGGAGGGCTCCTCGGCGCCCCCTCGGACGCCTCGGATCAGGAGCGAAAGAAGGACGTACACGTACATGAATCCACGCTGGTCTCGAGAGCTCGCATTTCAAGCAGTGGCGAAGCGTCCAGGCTCGCCTATAGCCCTACCAAACAAAGTTCTAAGAACCTCTGATGGTTCCCACGACATGTTCTTAGAACATGTCTGGCGGAGTCTGTCTTGTTTTATCACATCGGGTTGATGTTCTAAGAACAGTGTTTGGGTTCTACGAACATTTCGTGGTAGGACTATAGGAATATGCCGGGACGGTCGGTCCCTGCTCAAGCATTGCGCGAATGTTCGTGTCACGCGGCCGGTCTCGCGGGTCAAGGGGCCGTGTTCACGCACATAGCTGGGCGCGTACGTCCTCTGTGGGCTCCCTAGCGGAGCTGCCACCTTTGAGCTGCCGCAGGGGCCGGCCGAGGGTCCCTCAGGCACCGCCGGGCAGCCGCGTTGTCCCACCCCGGGCAGTGTGGGAGGTCGCGACGGCATCCGCCGCCATGGGAGAAGCGGGTCCTGAGGGAAACGGGCCCTTCGTCTTTCGCTGTGTTCGGGCTCCTCCCGGCCCTCCACGAGGGGTCCCGAGGGAAGCAGGTCTTGACTACCTGCCAGACCACCCCAACCCGACCCGAAGACCCCAATGTCGGGTTGGGGGGGGGTACGGGTTCCATATGCGTTGTTTCAGTGTTCCCCGACCCCCCCAACTGGAAATGGAGGGCAAATTGAGGCCTTCGGGTTGGGTTGGGGTGGTTTGGTGGCTGGTGAGGTCTCGAGTTGTCCCGCGGTACTCGGGCTCCCCGGGCCCTCCACACGGCCTCGGGATCTCGTCGGAGCGCGGCCCGGGGATGCGGGTGTCTCGCCCTGGGAGGGCCCCCAGGGGCCAGGGCCCGTCTCGCGCAGGGCCCGTCTGCTCGTGTCTCCTCTCGCCATCGAGGGCAACAGGTCCAGATTTACCAGTTTGAAACATATCCCCATCCCTATGTTTGACATCACCTCACCTCGATGCCGATCTTAGGGATTCCCTCAGTTTCTGAGGGCCTGTCCCTAAGATTGTCCTCGCTTTTTGTTCGCCCATCTTAGGGATAGGGATAGGTTTGAGGCCTGTTACAGATGTGGTCGGAGGATCGCGCCGCCTCGCCGATGTGCCGGCGATGCGGCTCGGTGCGAAGCACATTTTTCTCCACGCCGACGTCGCCCATCTATCGGCAGCGTCGTTGCATCGCCAATGCATCGCCACGGTATCGCCGATACATCGGCGATGCGGCGCGATTCTCCGACCACATCTACTCCGACCCCATCTAGGAGGCCTACATTTAAGTCGGGCCTGCCATTCTACAGGGGCAACATTCAAACATGGTAAAATTGTAGCCTGGGGACTATGTGTTTGCATTTTTGTAATGTCTGAATATGATAGGGCTGTACGTATGTTTTCCTCGAAGATCGGCCTGTAGGGGGACAGGCTCGCCCTTAGCCTACATCCTACGGAGGCTTGGGGCCCTCCTAGCAGAAGGCTACGGAGGCTTCTAGGGAGGACCGCCACGGACGCAGGGAGGGCTGCCGAGAAGCCCCCCCCCCCTCTCGCGCCACCTCCTCGAGCGCCCGCCGCCGAGGCGGGCCCAGCCGCCAGGCTGTGAGCCCCCGAGGCAGGCTGGCGCTGCAGGTGATGGGCCTGCTGTCCGCCACCACCACAAGTTGGAGGGGGAGGGGGTTCTCCTCCTCCTCCCCCTCCTCCTTCCTCCTTCCTCCTCCTCCTCCTCCTCCTCCTCCCTCCTCTTCCTCCTGCTCCTCCTCCTCCTCCCTTCTCCTCCCCTTTCCTCCTCCTCCTCCTCCCTCCTCCTCCTCCTCCTCCTCCTCCTCCTCCTCCTCCTCCTCCTCCTCCTCCTCCTCCTCCCCCTCCTCCTCCTCCTCCCCCTCCCACTTCTCGTGGCCGTGGTGGAAAGCGTGCCCCTCGGCAGGCGTCCCCCGAGCGGCGCCGCCGCGGCGTGCACGGAAGCCTGCGCCCACGGGGCGCAGTCCCGACCCCTCTTCGGGGGCGGGGGCTGACCCTCGACCCGCACAGTAGAAGTCGGGCACGCCCCTTCCACAGGAGGAATACATAGTCAACAAATATCATGGGGACGACTGTTTGAGTATATTTTGACCACGTTGGAGTAGGTGTTCATAGTTTTATGCTTCGCCCAAAGTCGCCCTCGACCCGCATAGCAGGAGTCGGGCACGTCCCTCCACAGGAGGAAAAAATAGTCAACAAACATTATGGGGACGACTGTTCGAGTATATTTTGACCATGCTGGAGTATGTGTTCATAGTTTTATGCTTCGCCCACAGTCGCCCTCGACCCGCACAGCAGAAGTCGGGCACGTCCCTCTACAGGAGCAATAGCCCCAGGAAGCACTTACGAACCCCCCCAAGGAAATGCACAGCACATCCAAAGGCATCCCCAAGGATTTCTTCTTGCGCGTCGCGCGGCGCGCCACGCGCCACGGACTTTATGTTTTGATTTGTGCGAGGTGCTAAAGATATCGCTCGGCGAAAACGGCCCCCTGGAAATATTGAATCATGGTGCGGTGCTAAGGATAAACCCGGGGGGGTATTAAAGGCTTCCTCGGGCTATCCCAAAATAGTCAGACAAAATAGTCAGGGGAGTATTTTTGTTTAGCATTTTGTCATCGTTTCGGAGTATGCTTTGAGTATTTTTGATTTCTCGCCCATCAAAAAATCCTCCTGCAGGGGGGATCGCCCGACCTAAGCAGAGTAAGGATGAGCAGCCTTCCCAAGGATGCCCCGATGCACCATGCCTCCTCGGCCCATCCTCGGAGGCTTCCGCTGGCCAGCCTCGTTCGAAAAGCGTTCACGTGGGCCTGCAGGGCCTTTTGCATCCTTACCACGCACCCTTGTGAGACGGGGTGACCGGTACCCATCAACCATCTCCTTGGGGGATCGAGCTTCGGGGGCCCCGGCGGGCGGTGGGTACTGGTATCCTTGAACAAGAAGTGGCATAAACATACGCTGTCGGCGCGCGAGTTGCTGGGTTCGGCGCTGGAGTCCCCTGGCGGCGCCTCCGGCGCCGCCCCTGGCGTGCTCCGCGCGCCAGGCAGGGGAGTCCAGCGCCGATCCAAGAAATCCTCGCGGACTTCCAACATTTTATGTTCGTGCCATCAGTTTTTGCCCTGTGATATACGCGGGCCTTGGTGGGCGGGGGGGGGGAGAATTTTGTTCGTACCCACCGCCTGCCGACGTCCCCGAAGATCGATCCACGGTCGGCGGTTATGGATGAGCCCACGCCTCGCAATCCATGGCCTATGGGCGGAGCAATGTACAGCAGCCTTGGCTCGCAGTCTCTAAGTCAACGAGCTCTGGGACAACGAGCGGCATCAAGAAGCATCTCGGCCCCGTTTTGGGGCCGTCGGGTCTCGCTTGCGTCATCTGTAGGCTTCGCTGGGTGGCCGTGCGGTTCACCCTGGGGCCTTCTTAAGAGCGCCAGGGGTGGGTCGGAGCCATCTCAGGGCGACATCGGGAGCTATTAGTCTTCCAAGCAAAGTGCGTGTTCGATATTGTTTGTCTCTCGGGGGACCTCAGACGGCCCCCCGCGGGGGCTCAGACGGGGACCTGAGATTGTCTGATTCTCTCTGGGGCCCGCTCGGTTGCCATCTTGAGCAATCTTGGGGCCGCCTTGGGACTGCTCAGTAGGGGTCGCGCGCGCGCCTGGGGACCGAGCGCGACGCATCCTCTGGCGTCGGAGGCCGCCTGCAGCACCATCCTTGGTGTCGCTCGGACGTGTACATTCTTTCTCGGTGGGCATTATTCCAGGAGGGGAAGAAACACACAGACACAATTAATCGTCGATTCCCCAGAAAATATAGGAAAATGTGGGAAGTGGGGGGGAAGACAAAAACCCAGAAAATATGGGAAAATATGGTGGATCCTTTCATTTGTGTGTATTTATTTGTGTGTCCTGGGGCCCCTTCAATTATTCCAGGAGCATCCTGGATCATTCTGCGAAAACGCCACGCACGAGACCGCACGCAAAAACACAGGGGACGGACGCCCGACTCGGTGGCCAGCATCCGGGCTGGCTCGATCGGGGCCTGCAGGGGCCATCAAAGCCACGTCGAGCGGGCCCTCCGTGGAAGGCCCTCCGTGGGCCGCCTCGGAGGTCGATCGCGAGGCGTTCGGCTGGTCTCCTCGGCGGCGGCTGGGGTCTCCAGGCTCAGGTCGGGCATGTCCCCGTGCAGGGGGACTCTGGGCGACAAAGAAGACATGCACCAAACATGGTCCAAGATGGTGAAACATAATCAAACACATCGTCCCCTGAGTTATTTTTGTTTTTGATATTTTTGAACATCCCCCCCGTAGAGGGGCAGGCCCGACTTAACTCTAGGCTTATGTGCCATATTCTATGGCGGGGGGCAAGAGATTCCACTGGGGGGCCTTCGTCACTCTTTGGGAGGCGGCCGGGGGGGCGCGCGAGCAGACGCGGAGGAGGATCGCTTATCCACGGGGCCGCGCCGCACCCGGTGCCAAGGCCCGGAAGGCGTGGACACGGGCACGCTCTCGCCCGCTCGCCGGGGCTTCCGGGCCGGAGTGACGATCGAACAACACACACCCATACCCATAAGGGCGGTCGTTGGGAGGAGGACTCGCTATGGGTATGGGTGCGGGTTGTCGGACCCTGGGGAACGCTCCCGTTCGAGCGGGGACCCCCATCCGACAACACGTACCAACAGCCCTCTCCGACCCCCCTATGGGTATGGGTGTTTGTTGTTGGTTCGTTGAGAGTGCGGCAGCGGGCGGGAGTTTGGACGCCCGGAAAAGGCACGGAAAGCATGGGCACGGTGCCCAACAACGAATGTGATCCAAAACCGACAGCGGCCGCTGTTGGGCAGGCGGCTTGTTTGCGTCGGAGAACAGCGTCCGCGGCGGCGAGGGCGGCGAGTCTGGTTCAAAGTGAACAGGAACCGCGTGTGGGCATCGTGCCCATTCAATTCAGGAGGGGAAGAACACACACAGACACGATGAATCGTCGATCCCCCTGAAAATATGGGAACATACGGGAAGTGTGTGTGTGGGGAAGACAAAGACGCAGATATTTCGGGAAAAATATGAGAAATCTTTGAATTGGTGTGTATTTAGTTGTGTGTCTCAGGGCCCCTTCGTGTCTCCGCACCCGTGCCGATCGCACCGGAGGAAAACCCCCGCGCGCGCAGACGGGCGACCCCGCCCCGGCCCGGCGCTCCTGCGCTCCCCCGCCCCGCCCTCGCAGGAGCGGCGCGAGAAGCTGTCCGCGGAGCGCGAGGCCGACGAGGCGCGGCGGCGGCGGGGGCGGGGCGGCGGGGGCGGGGCGGCGGCGGCGCGGCCCTGCCGGCTCGGGCCCCCCCCCCCCCCCTGGCGGCCGCTCTGCCTTCCCCTCTCTTGGCGGGCGCTCTCTGGCCGTGCCGCTCGGGTGACGGTGTCTTGGAGCAGGTCTGGTCGCTCTGTTCGCCTCTCTCTCTCTCTCTCTCTCTCCCTCTGCGATGTGCTTTTCTATGTGCATGCATACGTGTATACATATACGTATACGTATACGTACACACATCTCTCTATCCTGTGCGTGTTCCGTAGGTGTGCAGATGCATGTGTAATCTATGTATCCCTCTCTCTCTCTCTCTCTTCCTCTCTCTTCCTCTCTCTCTCTCTCTCTGGGGGGGGGGAGCGACACCACCACCACCACCACCACCACCACCGGGGGCGCCACCTCCGGCGAGGAGGCCCACGATGCCTCCCCGGGGGTGCCTCGAGCGAGAGGGGGGCAGGGCGAAACGCCCCCCTGGCCCCTCCTGCTGGCAGTCCCCGCTGGCAGTGGTTTCGCTCCTCCCTGCCTCCTGCCTCTCTGGCGACACCCCGACCTCTGTGTGTCGAGCTGTGTGTCTGTGCCTGCGCGCGTCGGGCCCCGCAGGGGGCTGCGCGCGCTCCCGCAGAGAAAAGTCGTACCGCTGAGAGAAGGGGTGGCGGGCGCGCTCCGCCCAAACCGCTCGGGGGGAATGATCTGCTGTGCTGTGGTCCGTGGTGAGTCGACGTGCTCGGCCCGGGCGCTCGTAGTAGTAGTAGCAGCAGTAGTAGTAGTCGTAGTCGTAGTCGTAGTCGTAGTCGTAGTCGTAGTCGTAGTAGTAGCAGTAGCAGCAGTAGTAGTAGTAGTAGTAGTAGTAGTAGTAGTCGTAGTAGTCGTAGTAGTCGTCGTAGTAGTCGTAGTAGTCGTCGTAGTCGTAGTAGTCGTAGTAGTCGTAGTAGTCGTAGTAGTCGTAGTAGTCGTAGTAGTAGTAGTAGTAGTAGTAGTAGTAGTAGTAGTAGTAGTAGTAGTAGTAGTAGTAGTAGTAGTCGTAGTCGTAGTAGTAGTCGTAGTAGTAGTAGTAGTAGTAGTAGTATGCCCTTGTGCGTCCCATCTCTCTCCCTCCCTCTCTCTCTCCCTCCCTCTCTCTGGGAGCAGGAGGCTGCGAGAGGTGGGCTTGTCACAGAATGCCCCACACCCTGCTCGCCGTTCTGGCACCCCCTGGGGCCTTCTTGGGCTTACGATGGGGTACTCTGGAGGCCATGGGAGCTCCCCAGCGAATCCGACATCCTGGGGGCACCTTGAGCCAGGAACGCTCAGCTTCCCCCCATCCACTTCGACGGTGTTTTTGCCAACCCTCTGGGTCATAAAGCTCGTTATGTCCCCCCAATAGCATAACGCCCCCCCCCCCCTCCCCCCAGTGCGTCCCCGGCAGTGCCGCAGTGCGTCCGGCGCCACAGTCTGTGGTGCGCCACAGTCTGTGGTGCCAGATCCACGCGGCCAGGGGGGGGGGGGGGGTCACGTTACTCTTTGGACTGCGTTGCTATCCAGGCTTTGGACGCAACAAGTGGATCCCACAATTCTGAAGCGTGCAAGCACCCCGGGCATGGATAATAATCTGCTTCGTTTGCACAAATAGCGAAAGCTCACAGACTATTCCATTTCTCAAACATGTTAGGCATTATGACAGATGCTGCACCCCTCTCCTCCCCACCACAACCCCCGCTATCGCCGCAAACACAATAATGCTCTCTGTTCTGTGGGGCCAGGAGGCCAGGCCTCACGTACTGGCTGCCCGGTGGCATATGACCCGAAGAGCAAGGCGGGGCACGAGCACGAGTTGCTGGACATCTCCGCGGATTTCCAGCAGTGCGTGATTGTGCAGTTGACCTCATCTAGCCTCAACGATACCGCCCCTCCATGTCCCCAGCGCGACCCGGCTCAGATCGAGTGTTTGGATGGTCGGGGCAGGTGTGACGTGTAGAGCGTTGTCCAAGATGTCGTTCATTGCGTTCACGTGCTTGGCCAGCGACTGCTTACGATCAGTAGTGCTTGACAGAGGTTCCCCTACGATGTCGTGCGTGACGCGGGAAGAAAGGCTTGCGCTGCATCTTCGGGGGACCTCGCCTGTCCCCCAAAAACGAGGTCCTCTCTTGTGCCCGACGCGGGCTCGACGCGGATTCGACGCGGATTTGCCGTAGATTCGGCGCGGATTCAATACGACGATGACGACGACGACGACGACGACGACGACGACGACGACGATGACACCAGCGAGGGCGAGGGAAAAGGCGCACCTGCACGATTTCTCGTGGCTTTCGAGAGAACGTGCGTGGCCCCCCCCCTCCCTGCAGGCCTCCGAGCCCCCCCCCCCTGCAGGCCTCCGAGCCCTCCCCCCCGACCTCCGAAAGGGGCGCGAGGCCGTGCGGCGGCTGCCGTGCCCCTCGCGGGCGTCCGAGCCTCTCCTCGTCCTGGCCCTCCCGCGTGGCCGCGAGGCCTCCTCGCAGAGCGAGGAGGCAGGAGGGAGGAGGGAGGAGGCAGGAGGGAGGGGGGAGGAGGGAGGAGGGAGGAGGCCGGAGGCCGGAGGGAGGAGGGAAGAGGGAGGAGGGAGGAGGGAGGAGGAGGAGGAGGAGGAGGAGGAGGAGGAGGAGGAGGAGGAGGAGGAGGAGGAGGAGGAGGAGCCCTCCTCGTCCCAGAGCGTCATCTCCTCCTCGCAGGTCGATGAAAAAGCTTTCGCACATGGCAGCTTTGGTCATCTCCTCCTCCTCGCAGGTCGTGCAGAAGTGTTCGTTAGACACATCGGCAAGAGCAACACACACCGCACGAGCGTCGGCCGAAAGCAGAGTGTGTCCTATGTGCTGTTCGCTTTTGACTCTCTCCCTTCTCGTCCCAGCCCAAAAGCCGAGCCCTTCCCCTCCTCGCAGGCCTCCGAGTGACCGCGAGGATTGGACGTCGCGTAATGTCACCACCCAGGCCACCCCAACCCAACCCGAAGCCTCAACTTGCCCTCCACTTTTTTTCTCCAGTGGGGGCAGGTTGCGGGGCATGGACAATAACACATATTGAGCCTGTACCCCCCCGACCCGAAATTCGGGTCTTCGGGTTGGGTTGGGGTGGTCTGGTCGGTAGTCATAATTCGGGACGATCGAGAAGGGTACGGAAAGAGTGTGCACAACAACCGACAGCAGTTCATGCCCATGCCGAACAGGATTCGATGTTTGTGTCGCCGCAGACTGTGTCCATTTGCGACAGAAGGCCGCCTGCCCAACAGCGGCCGCTGATGGTGTCGGACAACATTTGTTGTTGGGCAGTGTGCCCATTTTTCCTCTCCCATTTCGGGCGTCCAAACTGATGGGGGCGACACGTAGGGGGGGGGGGGAAGGTATAGGTACCCCTTTCGGGCCCTGAAAGTCCCCTGTTGGGGCCCTACGAAAGGGCCCCCGTTGGCCCTCGAGGGCACCTTTTCTCTGCAGCCCTCGCGGCCCCTCCATTTGTTCGCTTGCCCCCCATTGCCTTGGCATCTCTCGGACGTGTGCATTTTTTCTTCGGCGAGGACCATCGAGGGGCATTCTTGAGCATTTGGTGAAACAACCACGCACGAAATCGAAAAGAACACAGAGAAGGGACGTCCGAGCGATGGCGAGTTGCGCGAAGCCCAGGAGGCCGTGCGGCGGCGGCCGTCCCCTCGCAGGGCCTCCGAGCCCTCGTCGCCCCAGACCTCCGCGCGGCCTCGTGCGAGGCCATGCGGCGGCTGCAGTCGAAGTACGCCCGGGACGAGGGCGCCCCGGCCGCCGCCAAGGCGTGCCCCGCGCCGCTCCCCCCCTGCCGGGCGGCCCCTGCAAGGCGGCAGGTCTGTCGGAGGTGGATAGGCCTCCTGCCCTGACACGTCGATGAAGGGATTGGCCGTGTTCGGTTCGCGAGAGGGCGTCGCGGCCGTCACTTTTGCGGGTCCAGGTCCGTCGGTTTCGGTCCCAGGCCGGTTTCACTAAAGGGAGGTGTGCTAAAGGGAGGTTTGTCCACCGCCGATTCTGGACCCCCAGATCCCACTGTACTCTCCATTGCCTGTCTGCTGCAGGCGTCGATGCGTTTTTTGTTGGTTCTGTGTGCCGTTCTTCTCTGGGAGGGCCTGGACCCAATCTGCTCCGTCCGCCTCCCTGCCTCGTGTTCCTACCTGCTGCTTCCGACCGACGCTCAGGGATGCTGAAGAGTGCTAGCCCAGGGGAGGGACGAGCTCAGGGGGGAATGCATCGACCCCCAGTCGCCCACTCGTCGCCGATAAGGGGCCCGATAGCCCACCTCGCCAGGGAACGTGCAGAGTCTCTATCGGTGGCCTGTCGCCGATTTTTCGGCGATCTGCCGCCGATGCCAGGTCGATGCTTCCCCCCCTGAGCAAGTCCCCCCTGCCGTTCCCCCTGAGTGTTGGGGAAGATTTGATCGAAGACGCCTACGTCGAATCACCGCCGCACCCTGCCCTTTTGGAGACGCCCATGTTGGCAAACGGCGGGCCAAAGTCTGGCCAAGATATTCGGCGATGTGCTCCCACGCTCATTTTGGGTGTAAACCCATGGGGGAGCAGTTGGAAACCCTTGGCTGGAGGAAGAGGCAGAGGTGGAGGAGGATGAGGTGAGGAGGGAGAAGGAGAAGGACCAGCCTGGGTTTCTCGTGGAGATACTTCGGGCCATCTTGGCCGTCTTGGAGGCTACTTGGGACCGTCTTGGCCATGACGGAGGCGAGTTCTTTTGACTTTTTGGTTCTCTGGGTGGCCAACGTGGTGAGCTGGAGCCCAAAAGGTTGTAATCACTCGGCGCCAGGAATTCTTATTGCAAGGAAAAGCGGGTGGCGTACCGAAGACCGAAGACGCATACGGCGAAGCACCGCCGCCCCCTGCTTTTTGGAACCGCTTTGGCCGTTGGACCATGCAGTCCCCCAGCCGTTGCGGAAACCCTCTGGGGCATCATTAGGGAAAAGAAGAGACAGGAGGTGGAGGAGGACAGTGAGGAGAAGGAGAACCAGGAGGAGAAGGTTGAGGAGCAGGAAGAAGAGAAGGCTTTGTGAGGGCCTCCCAGTGCCTCCTGGAGGCCTCTACGGGCGCTTTAGGGTCGTCTTGGGCCGACTTGGGGCCTTCTTGGGCCGTCTTGCTTGCCTAGTTGAGGCCTCTTGAGTCGTCTTGGGGCAATCTTGGAGGCCCACAGGACCAGCTTGGAGTGTCGGGAACCCGAAAAAGGCGAACATGCTGAAATCGGTGGGGAACCCAAGGCACACCAGTGAGTTCGGCCTCCTGGAGGTCCTCTGGTTCCTCTTTTTGAGGCGTCTTCGGAGCCTTTTGGGCACCATCTTGGGCCGTCTTGCGGCCATCTTGGCCGTCTGGGTGGCGTGTTGGAGCCGTCTTGGAGGCCATCTTGGACCATCTCCGCCGTCTTAGAGGCATCTTTGAGGCCATCGACGCCGTCTTAGAGGCGATGTGGCCCTTGCCTCCGAGGTTTTTCGGGCGTTCCGGGTGTTCGGCGGCTTGGGCCAAGGCCTCATTGGGCAATTCTTTTCAAAAGTGACCGAGATAACCAAACATTCATTGTGCACCCTTGTGGCAAGCCATTGGGGTTTGAAGGTACGCATCAAGGGGATCGACCTGATAATGTATCTCGCTTGTCCCGGTGTCGCCTTGGCTCGAGGCTGCGCCGCCCCATTTGCCTGTACCGCTCGCGGTGTGCGGCGATGGGCAGGAAAGAGGCATCTTCCTTGCCCCATCGCCACCATCGCCACCCGACCCTTGTACCCCTCATGCCCCGTGTGTTACACCATGTCATGGTGGGCTCCTTTTTTTCGATTTGGTATTGGAGCTGTCGCACCTACGGCAGCTCTGCTTGTCTCCGCCCTTGTCGTGCTGATCGCCTACAGCAGGATCCGCCGCCGTACCTGAAACGCGGGAACGCACGTGGACCAGAGCACGATTCTCAGCACCCGCTGCAATGCTACCGCTGCCCCTCCACCGACGCCATGTCGGGCTTCGGGCGCGGCGTGGGATCTCGACCGCTCGCGCGAAGGCCTCTCCCGTCACTTTGACGGCAACGTCGGCAGACCCCACTGCTGCAACTCACGGGCCCAACAGCGCGCGAGGAATGTCGACCGCTACAACGACGGTCTCGACCTCCGTCGGCGCCGCCTCTTCCTTCGAGCGCGGGGGAGCGACCGTCAACCCTTCTTTCGAGCACGGGAGCTTGACGAGGAACACAGTTTGGCCTTCAGTGAACACCCTCATTCGCCACAATCGAAATTTTCATATTTTTTTGTCTGGCGAGGTTCTGTTGTTGGGTTGAGACCGAACCGAAAGAAAACTTGGGGGAATAACTGGCGAGGGAGAAGACGACGAGGGCGGGGGCGAGGAAACGGAGGACGAGGGACGCGGCGAGGAAGGGGCGAGGGGCGGGAGGGGGGGGGAGCGAGGAGGAGGGCGTGGCAAGGGGGAGGACGAGGATCGGGAGGACGGGGGGAAGCGACGAAGGGAGCTCGAGGAGGAGGGCGAGGCGGGTGAGCGAGAAGGAGGGGGAGGACGGGGGGGGGCGAAAACTAAAGGGACCACGCGAAAAAGGGGCGCGAGGAGGAGGAGCAGGAGGAGGTCGAGGAAAGAGAGCGAGGAGGAGAGAAAGGAGGGGAAGGCCGACGAGAGGGAGGACGAGGATGGAGAGCGAGGCGGGGGGCGGGGGGGGCGACGGCGGGAGGGGCGAGGACGGGGAGGGCGAGTTTGCTTGCCAGCCGAGAACACTGGGGGGAAACGGGCGCGCAACATTAAATACTCCTTGTGGTTGTCCGTTTCTACCTCGCAGGAGTGCCGACACCGTCGCGACATGAAGCTTCCCCACTACCGAACACATCCACATCTTGATGTACTGTTTCTGCCTCACCAGATTCGGTTGTCGAATATTCTTTGTTGAACGCATGCGTGGACGCATTGTGTGCGAACGGGAGGGTTCCCAACTGCGTGGATTTTGATGGGGCCTAGCAAGCATTGTGCCACATTGGGTTTGGATTCGTGACCGCGCTTGGCTCGACGTTCATCCACCGCCACGGCAGGTTGCAGCAATACCTTGCGGTCACCACGGCTTCGCACGTGGTTTGGCGACGTGCACCCCATGTGGTGTCATACATTGGAGGTCCATTCCAAAGAACACACTGCCTGGCCCCAGGGTGCCCGGGGGCTTTCTGGGTTACTATGGGACGCTCCCACACCACTATTTAAGAAACGCCGTGGGGCCTCAAATTTGTTTTTTTTGTGGAAGGTGTCCTGTGGACGGGCCTCCACTGCAGGCATCGGTGCCGACGTGAAGGGTGCGAGGACGGACCCCGTGACGTACCTCCTCCTCCGCCCCGCGCAGAAGTCCGAGCACTCCGGAGGCGAAGGACGACTACATCAAGGTTTTGCCCACCACAGAATTCGAACATTCCGAGGACGGATGGCGATTACAACAAGGCCTCGAGTTCATAGCCTTCCGCGTCGCGCCCCACGAGCGCATGGACAGCGTCATGGCCCGTTGGGAGGCAGCCTGGTTAATGCTAGAAGCTGCTGGATTCGGACTGGGCAATTCCGAGTTCCGGTCAACCACTCAGTGTGAGCTCTACGTTGGCCGCCGCCCGAAATTCCAACAGTATCGAATGGCGTTCGGCCGATCCCGCCACCGTGCCACGGCTGTGGGTATGAAGCCTATTGGATGTTCGTTGGGGTTTCGTGGGTTTTTTTGGGGGGGGCCCTTGGGGGCAGTTTGGGCGCCTATTGTGGCCAGTTTGGGAGCCTCTTGGTTTTTTTGGGGGGGCCTCTTACGAGCGTATTTGGGGCAACTTGGGGGCCGATTGGGGGCCAATTGGCGCCTCCTGGGCGCATGCGAGGGCCTCCTGGGAGCCTTTTGGGCGGAAGGCTGGGATTTTCGGTTCGTGCTCGATTTGTTGGGTGTTTGCAGGCCGTCTTGGGCCGTTGTTGGCGCCTCTTGGGTTGTCGTTGGGCCCGTTTGGGCTGTGTTGTGGTCCTCTTGGGGGCCTCTTCGGCGGTCTTGGGGCGGCGCTGGGGGTTTCCAGGGCTGTCCGAGAGCGTCGGGCAGCCGAGCAAGCAGGAACGTCAACATCTTCCAAACACCTTACAGGAAAAACTATATGGTTTGCCTTTTTCCGAGGCTTTCTTGAGGGGCCTCGTGGAGGTCTCTTCGGGCGTGTTGGAGGCCTCTGGGGCCGTCTGGGGGTCACCTTGCGCGTCTTGGAGCGACCGTTCGGCGACTCGGGGCCTCCTTGGGCCGTCTCGGACGGTTCCTTGGGGCCCTCGCGGCCCGTTTCGGGGTGTTGCGGGGCCCGAAACAATCATGCGACAAGGCGCGGGCCGCGCCAGAAGAGTTGGCCCGAAAGGTTCCGAAAACGAAAGAGTTCCTCAGGACTTCAAGACACGCCCGTTCCGCGCCCGGCGGCGCGGTTGACCGCCACGTGAAGTTTCGACCGTCCTGCAGCCTTCGAGTGGGCTGCTGCAGAGGACTCCGACCAGCTAATTATTAGAGACCATAAGACGCCGGCAAGACATTGTTGAACGAGTGCCCAGTAACGTTGCTAAACTTGTGGGCGGACCTGGCCGAAATAACATTCGCCCGACCACCGCGAGCACCTACCGGTTCGACGGAGACGCACCAGCAAACGATCACGAACAGCCAGGTGCCTGCAGCCTGTACGTGGACCCTTGACGCCAACACTACTTGGACACCCTTTTCGGGGGAGCGTAAGACCCGGGTTTGCCGGGACTCGGGTTCGCCATCGTTTTTTGACGACCGCGCCTCGGATTTTGACGAGGAGGAGTTTCGTGGGATGTCTGCAGCGGGAGGCCTCGTCAAAATGCAGGCTCGGCCTCGTCATTTTTTTGACGACCTCGTCGGGGATTTCCGAGTCCCCCGTACCCGGGTCTTACGTCTCCCCGACCTTTGTAGATCAAGGGAACGCGACCACCAGGGCACCATCTCCACCTGCTGCACCAGTCACGCGACCAACAGTTACGCCAATGGCCACTTTGTGGGGACACCCCATTCAATGGCGCGCTCATGGGGAAAGGCAGAGGTGGAAAAGGTGGCCGCCGTCGTCGTCATCTTCATCGTCGCCACTGTCGTCGTCGTCGTCTCGTTCTGTCTGCCGTCTTCATCGTTGTCCTTCGTCTCCGCCGCCGCCTCCGCCGCCGTCGTCGTCGTCGTCGTCGTTGTCGTCGGCGTCGTTCGTCGTTCGTCGTCGTTTGCTGGCGGCGAATAGGAAGGTCAGAAGAGGGTGGGGGGCCGAGCCCCCCTCCAGCTGGCCACAGAGAGCGTTCATTCGAACCTTGCGTCCTCATTGTGTGGCCCATATCGAAGCGAGACACCAGCGCGCCATTACGAAATGTCGGCAGCTTTTCAAAATCGCATTAGGTGCTCTTCGGTTTCGAGCACGGGGCGATCTTCATGGAAACGGTAGTTTTTTCCTGAAAATGCTACGCTCTGAGATTTCCCAGATATCCAGATGTCCCACACGGTCTACAGAAACGAGGGCCGCTAGATGCGTTAGAATTCTTGAAGCGTGTCCTGCGCCAGTCGCATCATGACACCGCTTGCTTCCCAGATCCTGCGCAAAGTCCCACGGAGGACTGTGCAGTCCGCCAGCAATTGCTGGGAGCCTTATCTACGCTCGAAGTTCCATCTTCAGAGTGCACACGCGTGCGCTAGCGTCCGATACTCGAGGAGTGCACCGGTTCGGCGTCGATGATCGCAGACGTATCGTCGATCAGTGGCCAGCGTTCATGACATGGGAGGCTCCCACGACTTGCCACAGAACCGTGCATCGGCGACGAGCGACGGGAGGAAATGAGAGGGAAAAGGCCTTCGCACACGGCGGCGGGGCTTCTCAGGAACCCTCGCGCCTGCTGAAAGGTCTTCCCTGTCTCCGGAAAGGCCCAGAGCATTTTCCGGAGGGTTGGGGGGCTTCCGAGCCCTCTTAGAAGGCCCGCCGCCCATGCTGATGGCTTTCGGGCCATGGCTCGGTTCCCCGGCGGCCCCTCGGGGCGACCCCGGCGTCCCCGGCACGCCCGCGGCGAGACGCAGCTGTCCGACGGCACCCCGAGGCTGGAGAACCCGCCGGAGACCGCCGACGACGCCCGCTCACCTCGAACCTCGAGCCCGTTCCCCCCACCCCCGGGGCTCGCCGCCGAACAGAGCCGCGCACGCCGGCCAGCTGCTGTGCAGGCTGCTCCCATGCCTCAGAGGCGACGACCGGGGCGAACAGCCCAGGGGCGAGCAATACATGTATTCAGGTGCGCCGATGACCTCTGTCTTCGAAAAGGCTCCCGGGCGAATGTGTGTAATGGCCGCCCCTGGGCTCTTCGCCCCTATCGTCGCCGCCGAATGCCCCGGCCCGGTCGGCAGGCCGCGGACGAGGCCCTCGCCGCGGAGCGGGAAAAGGAGGACGCGAGAGCGGCAGCACCTTTTTTCGCGGCGCCGCTTTTTGCTTCTCGGCGGCGAGCGGGAGGGGGGGGTGACAAGGAGAAGGCCGTTTTCGGAGGCTCGGCATCGCTCAAGCTCGTGGCTTTGTTCTCGGCGTGGGCCACCGAGGAGCATCGGGGATCGTCCTGCCGGACAACCGAGGCCGAGAAATGCACAGGCAATGGACGTCCGTGCGATGGCGGGGGGTGGACGTGAGAAGGAGAAGGCCTCCTCAGACGGTGGCGGGACTTCTCGGAGGCCTCGCTTCTGTTGTGTCGTCGGGGAAGGCCCAGAAAGCTTTTCATAAGGACAAGAGACTTCCGAGCCTGCTGAGAAGGCCCGCCCCTTTTCGCTTCCCCCGCGCTCGCCGCCAATTTGTCGGCGTTGGAAGAAGCGGGGGTGCAGGTCGATAAAGAGAGACTGCGAAGGCCTTGATGCTGGTTTCGCCGACCCTGTGCATCAGACGGTAGAGCAGGCAGGGCGGAGGGAGGGAGGGAGCCGGGGGGCACGCCGTCCTGCCTGTTTCCCCCCCTGGGGTCGCCAGGGGGCATATAGGTGCCCCGCCCCCATGGGGGTTCCTCCCCGCTTGCGTGGTTCTCGAGTCTCACGTTTACAGGCCCCAGTTTGACCACTACCTGCCCCAGCAGCGACCGCTGCTGTGTGGGGGGGGGGGGGGGGCGCTTTCCATTCGAAATCCGAAGCCGACAGCGACAGCAGGAGAGGAGGATGAGGAGGAGGACGTGGGGGGGGCAGGGGGGCGGGGGGGAAGCGAGGAAGGGGAGAAGGGGAAGCACGCCCTTGACATGTCTGCCATCGCCCCGCGCGGCGTGAAGGTGTGGATGGGCCCTCCAGGGCTCCGCTTCGGTACAGTCGGGGCGCTGAAGAAGGAACTCCGGTCGTTGGGGAGGGGCGCGGTGCTCCTCGATCGTTTCACAGTTTGCCTCAGGCTCTCCTCAGGTTTTCGATGGGAAGTCGAAGCGCAGCTTCTGGAGACGAGGGGCCTCGCTCCTTCTTTTGGGCTGAGGAGGAGGAGGAGGAGGAGGAGGAGGAGGAGGAGGAGGAGGAGGAGGAGGAGGAGGAGGAGAGAGAGAGGAGGAGGAGGGAGGAGGAGGAGGAGGAGGAGGAGGGGAGAGGAGAGAGGAGAGAGGAGAGAGGAGGAGGAGGGAGGAGGAGGAGGAGGAGAGGAGAGAGGAGGAGAGGAGAGAGGAGGGAGGGGGCCCTTCTCCGCGGAGGCTCCCCGCAGGTGGGCCCCGCGCGACGGGGGCTCTCTCTGTGGGGCGGCCTGCGCGGCGGCCGTGGCCCCGTGCTGCTCTGCGCCCCGCGTGCCCGGAGGCCCTGCCGCTGCCCCGGGCGACGCGCGCAGCCCCCGAAGGGGCGGGGCCGCCCTTCTGTAGCTAAGTCGGGCCTGTCCCGCTACAAGAGAATATCCAAAAATAGACAGATTGTCAGGGCACGATTTTCGAGCACTTCATCTATATATGCATATATATATATATATACATTATATATATATATATATATATATATCGATGGGGGTATTTTCAAGTTTTCGTCAAACATCCGCCTGTACGGGGTCATGCCCGACCGCCCCCTGTAGCTACAGGCCCCGAGGGGCGCCGTGGGCGAGGTGAGCCGGCAGTGCCTCGGAGAGACTCGGCGGCGAGCGCGGGGGGGGGACGAGAGGGAGGAGGAGCTCGCCTCGGAAGGCGGCGGGGCCTCTCGGAGGATTTCCTTCTGCGTCTCCAGGGAAGGCTCAGACAACTTTTCACAAGGCCGGAGGGCTGGGGCTTCCGAGCCTTCCGAGGAGGCCTGCTCCACCTCATGTCCCCCCCCCCTCGGCCACTGCTAGGACGTCTATGTTATGTGCACGTCTCGGCCTCGTCCGTGATGTTTTTGGCGGGATGATCCAGGCTGCTCCTCGATGCAGAGCTGCTGAAGGCTTGCTCCTTCTCATTTCCCCCCCCCCCCCTCACTCGCCGCCGAGAGGAGTGCCTCGTCAGTGAAGGTCCTCAGCGTCGTCCTCGCCGTCGTTGTCGTCGTCGTTATCGTCGTTATCGTCGACGTCGTCGTTGTCGTCGTCGTCTTCGCTCGCCTCCGAGAGAGGAGCGCCTCGTCAGCGTGTAGGGCCGCCTCCGGGGAGGCCGCTTCGTCGAGCGCTTTCGCGGCGCGCGCCTTCCAGGCTCGGTGCCCCGCCGTCGTTCCCCGCTGCCAGCTCCGTTTTGCCATTTTTTACCGGTTCCGTTTTGCCGTGTTGTTGCAGTTTGTTTTACCAGTTCCGTTGTGCCGTGTTTGTTTGTTGGTTCCGTTGTGCCGTTTCTTTGCCGGCTCCGTCGCCGTTCTTTTGCCAGCTCCGTCTCCGGCTCCGGCTCCAGTCCCAGAACCGTTTTCGTTACCATTTCCGGTCGCTGTTTTTGTTTGCCGGTTCCATTCTCAACAGACATTTTTTGGAAGACGGTGAGAAAATGGCCTTGCCGTTTTTGGGGCCCATTCAGCAGGTGGTCCACCCGCACAGGGTAAGGTTCAGTCGGGCCATGGCTCTCTACAGGAGAATGCGCAAACACAGCAAACTTGTAGGCTGGGGAAGACTCTTCGATTTTTTGGTTTGGGGCATTTTCGAGTATGGCTTGGCTATTTTTGCATTTCTCTTCCAAGAGCCGCCCGTAGCCAGACGTACCCGACCTGAGGTTCAGGATGAGTAATTGTCCAAGGTTCCCCTCGCATCCCTCCCCGACGGCGCATTCCCTTGGCCGCTGTCCCTGGCCGCGCCCCCGCTCGCAGAGTGTTGGCATGGCCTTCCGGGGCCCACGCATCCTTACCGCGCATCCTTATCCCTCCTCCCTCCTCCCTCCCTCCTCCCTCCTCCTCCTCGTCCTCCTCCTCCTCCTCCTCCTCCTCCTCCCCAACGGCGTCGTCCTCCTCGTCGTCGTCGACGTCGTCCTCGCCCTCGTCGTCGTCGTCCTCGTCGTTCTCGTCCTCTTCCTCGTCCTCGTCGTCCTCGTCGCTGTCGGCGTCGTCCTCCTCCCTCGTCCTCGTGCTCCCCCCCTCGCCCCCTCCTCCTGCGGGCCGAGCCTCCGCTGCCACGCAGCGGCCCGCTCGCGCAGCGGCTCGGCGCCTCCCTCGGCCCGCCTCCCGCGCCGCCCTCGCGCTCCTCCCCGGGGCCCCGACGGGGGGGGGGCCCACCCCGCCTCGGGAGGCCGCGCGGGCACCGACGGCTTCCCGGGGGGGCCCCGTCGCCGAGCACGCGGCGAGGTGTCTCCGATCCCGGGTGCCCTCCTCCTCCTCCTCCTCCTCCTCCTCCTCCTCCTCCTAGCCCCTTTCTATCGAGACTCCTATTCCAGGGGCAGACTCTCTTCTTCATTGTATATCGTGAAGGGGCCACACATGCCCCAGTTGCGGCCGCTCCTTTCAGGGCGGTGATGGCACAGCAGCAACAGCTTCGTCTTCTGGGGTGGAATCCTCAGTCATGTACGGGAGATAGGCTTGAAGAAGTGGTGGTGGAGACATCGAACTTCGACCTGATTTTGTTGGCTGAAACTCAGGCGGTGGACAGGAGGCAACAAATTTTTGGGAGCGTCGTCTTACGTCGTCGAGTGCAGGGACGTCTAGTGATTGAGGCTCCCTTCGGCCCATCGGCTCCTCTAAGCAATTCCAGTACGGGGTGTTCGGTCATCTTGGGCAAAGGGTTTCAGGAGCAGCATATTATTCAGACGTGGGCCTCCCTTGCGGAGGCCAAAGGGCGGTGTCTCGGAGTCAGGGCGAAACGGGGAAGGAGTGATATTTGTGGCATCAGCATATATTTCCCACCGAAGCCGTCTCGTCTCCAGCATCGTCCATTGTATCTTCGAACGGTTCGTGTTCTTATTGAATGGCTCCGCACTGTTCTTTCTGCGCTGCCGCAGAGAACGACGCCTGTGATATACTGTGACGCCAACGACGGGATTGGCATTCCAGCAGGAGGGAAAAGAGCATCTATTTAGACAGTGGTGGTGCAATCCCCGTCACCAGAGCGACTGCGCAGAGGAGCAGGTGAGCAGCTGCGCGAACTACTTCAGACTCATCAGATGACGGCGACCAGCGCTCGTGGGACATCAGTTATTCCAACTTTTTTCGGTCAAGATGGTGGCAAGTCTCGTATTGATTATCTTGTCATCCCCACGGGCATGGAGGACTCAATTGCCCACGCACATGTGCTACACAGACTAGGTGCTCGGCTTCAGGCGCTCCAGGGCCCCAGCCCACGTGATCACTTACCATTAGAATGTACTTTCTGTGGTATTCGCAGCACACTATTGGACCGACTGCTCCGCAGACCCGTCTGCGATGGGATCGTGATAAGATGATGTCAGCTCTTCAACGTGGACAGAACAAAGCTAGTTTCCTCAATTCGGTTCAGGAACAACTTGATCAGCGAGGAGCATATAACTATTTGCGAGAGTACGGCTCCCCAGATGAGATCTTCGAGCTTCTGGAGGATTGTATAACGACTGCAGGACAGACACACTTTGGCATGACGACGCTCGACGGTGATGCGCAGCGGCAGGCAGACTGCAACGCACGGCGGCTATTCTTGCATCAACGTGCAGACTTACGCGAATGAAAGTGGGATGCCTCCCCTGAGGAGGCCCAACACATAGACAACGAGCTGAAGCGCATCTCTCAAGAACAACGTCTCGTACGACGAAAAGCCTCTCGTGCCCTTCAATCTCAGCTGGTGGCGGAAGCAACGGACTTATGGAATCACCAGAAGCAGGCGGAAGCAATGAGATGCGTGCACTCGTATAGGACCCAAGAAACGCGATGGTCTTCTGGTTCGAACAGCAGCACCCACTTCACAGGCATGGTTAGATGTGTGGTCTCTCGAAGGTTCTCAGGGCGGGATGGCTGTTCAACCCCAGGATTGGCTTGAATGGCGTGCAGAACGTGATGGTCAGCAGTATTGGTGGGAGTCGTCTGAGGAGATTATTGACCTGTGTAAAGAGGATGTTGATCGAGTTATTCGATGGATGCGACACGCAGCTAAACGACGAGCATTTCCAGACTTCACGGCACCATTAGAGCTCTGGCTGATGCTGTTCCCCCCAAAGAAGGCTCTCAAACGGCGTCGCGGCCAGGGCATAGGATCCGACATGAGTGCGCCGAAAAACTCAGGCTTCAGATTTCTGGTAGAAGTGGGCTTGGCGAAGATCAGGATGCACAACATCAGCCCCCTCTACTGGCATCGGACAGAAGGAGCAGGCCTACGTAAATCTAATCTAGCAGGTCCCCGAGGTCGCCGAGTGGTGCATGTGATGGCAGCTATTGGGAAGGCGTACTACTCGACTTTGCTCAGACCCCCAGCGACGGCCTAGGACCACGGCTACTACCGACACCGTCGACGAGAGGACGCAGTCATGGGGGCTCTGATCACAGCATGGCGTCTACGAGCTCAAGGCATCACGCACGCCATGACGCTCAAGGACATGTCTAACGCGTTCGGCAGCTCTCTATGGGACCAGCTGGACACAACCGTACTTCTTCACTCTCGTGAGTGTGATCGCGCACTTTGCCAACAACGATATAAGAATGCTATTATTTCGCTGGGCGCGCTTGAGGGCCCTCTCACAGTTCGACCTTCACAGGGGAACACGGTGGGGGATCCTTTTGCTGTCCGAGCCTTCGTAGGTACATTCGCGCGCCCAATTTTGTCCTGGAGGCATGGAGAGTCCCAAGCTGATGCTCAGTCAAAGAGATTGCGTGCATCTTGGCAGGGGCTCCAGGCCGACCTTAGCACGTACAAGTTTGCTGACGATATCAACAGTTTTGCCCTGGCGGACCCGCAGATGTCGCTGAGAGATTTCACAGCAAAGATTGAGACGGTCGACGCCAGACTTGACTCCTATCTTTTTGATTTTGGTTACGGCCAGAACGGCACCAAGCAAGAGTACCTTATGTTTTTCGCTGCATGTGGCTATCAGTGTCGCCAGTTGTTCCGCCAAGACCCCTCTCTCCTCCAGGGCTCCGTTCGGGAAGAAGCTAGATATCTTGGGCCTTATTTACAGCTTAGCGCTTCGGCTAGATCTGAGATCTCCAGGAGGTGCTCGGCGGCCCGCTCGGGCTTTTTCTCCTTGGGCAGGGCGTGGAGTCTTGGGATTCCGAAAAGATGGAAACGTAGCCTCTTCATCGGGTTCGTTCAGAACGCTTTACTAAGTGGACTAGAAAGTTTCGTGGTCACGGAGACGGACACTACGATTTTAGATGGCTGCTTGGCTCTTCTGGGGCGTATCGCTATGATGGGGAAAGCTACATTCTGGGAGGGCCCGCATGTGAAATCACCATCGACTAAACATGTACTTGAGTATTGGAAGCTGGCCCCCTCCTCGCTGGAGCTCTTGATTCGCAGAGTTAAGCTGTATCAGTCGTGGAGTGCGCACCCTGAGGAACATGCTCAGGTTTTATGCGCATTATTTGGCTCGTCTCCTATCGAATTCATGCGACCTCCAATGTGTGCAGGACGACCTGCATCGAACTCTTCGCCTTGGGCAAAACAGGTGGCGTCCGATTTGGATCGTGTCCCCAGGCTGCTCCCTTACGAGAGCGTGCGAGATGTTGCCAATGATTTGCGTCTTCTCACCGATTTGGAGGCCTCAGAGGATTTTCGGAGAGTGGATATGACTGAGCTTCGGAGCCAAGCTTTCTCTGTCTGCATCCCCCCTCCTGGATATGCTCCACCAGTGGTCCCTCCTGAAGAGCCTGAAGATCGCGCAGAGGTTGAGTTGCCTTTTGTGTGCCCGATGGACCTCAATGGAGAGCCCTGTAAGAGCGCCTTCAGTACCCGTAAGCAGCTACTTGAACATCTACGGCGTTGTCATCAACTACGCAACCTAGCACATGTATTAACACCTAGCAACGTTTGCATCCACTGTTTGCAGACCTTTGCAACGCAAGTTACTGCCGCCCGTCACCTACTTCGATCACTACAAAAGGGAAACTGCCTCACATGTGGACCTCGTACACTGGCCCCGATGGTTACCCCGTCGTCCCATGGGTGCCCATGCTGTGACTATGTTGGAGAGGATGCGCTGTCCCTCTGTCGCCATCTCCGAAGCCATCTGCCTGTCCAGATAGCGCCCCTCATATCAAATACTCGCACGATCAGTACCGACGCGCACGGCTTTCATCATGGAAGTCGAGGCTCTCCAGAGACCTGCTTGGTTCAAAAGTGCCGCCTCCCCAGGGGCCGATGGCACTCAGCCCGACGCCAAACGCAAGAAGGAGTCGGGCAGCCAGGGTGGTCGCATTCCGTTCGGCAAAATCATCGTGGTCATATGCAAGTTGATCTTAGTCAACGGTCGAGAGCTGGTCGACCTCGGAGCCGCGGTGTACTTGAGGTACGAGTTGGGCGCAGGGCAGGGCATGATCGCAGCCGCAGTCGCGGCAGGAGTGGCAGACAACGAGACGAGCACAGAGATGAAGAAGCGCGCAGACGGTGGCGAGATGGAGGGCCACAAAGGACTTCCCGCTCCTCATCTACAAATCTTCATGGCAGTATGGGAGTACGGAGCTACCAAGACGGTGGCAGAGGACATGCGGGAGTTATGGGACGAGAAGTTGGCGAAGGTTCCGCTGTCAGATATCGCTCCTGCTGTCCAGTACTTCCGCGTTCGGATTCATCGCAGGGTCGAGGGCCAGAAAGACAAGGCAACATTTCTCTTCAAAGTGAATATTCATCACGTCCTGGGGGTGGTGATCGGCCCGATGGTGGAAACGTTGGTGGCGGTGGAGGGGGGCTCCTTCCTTTCGGGCGCGGCCCCGTGGGGACCGCTGGAGAGGGATACCTCGAAGTTCGACCGCAAGGAGTACGTGAGGCGCCCCCCCAGGTAGTGCCAGAGAGGGATAGCAGTGTGCAGGACAGTCGTGAAAGGCTAGCTAGTAGATTTCCGATGATGGCCAGTAGTGAGAGGCTAGCATCACTCGTAGCAGCAGGTAGGGTGACGCAGGATCAGATTGCTCGGGCAGTAAGTAGGATCCCAATTTGTCTCCCAGATGGTATCGCAGTGACAACAGCTCCTGAGATCCCAGTAATTAATATGCCTTCGAATCGAGGCCGTGGTGGCCGACACGTCGGGAGTGGGGGGCGGGGGGCGAGCTCTGGTGGGCGGGGGAAGGGACGAGGTCGCCGCGCCTGATGTATGGGCCCCCCCTGAGGGCTGCGTGCCTATCGGGGTGCCCATCGGCCAGTGCAGTCTTTGCTGTGAGCCTGAGAGGGGCTCGCATCGTTAGTCGTCTGGTTTCGAAGGAACCCTCTCAGAGTACAGTCAAGCTTTTTTCGAGCTTCGAGGTCGGGATCTTGACAGGGACTCCATGAGGATCTGCTCTGCTCTGCTCCTCCTCCTCCTCCTCCTCCTCCCCCTCCTCCCTCCTCCTCCTCTCCTCCTCCTCCTCCCAGTCGGGCACGTCCCCCCCCACATCGGGGGCGGCAAAGAGGGGGGTGACGACTAGGGGGGGGGGGGGATATCATGGCGGGGGCCATGGCATCTCCCCAGATGTCATGGCGCCTCCTCTTGTTTCGTTACGTCCCTGGCACCCCCGTTGGGCCGCGCACGTGCCGCCGGTCATGATTTGCACCCCGCCCTCTTGGACACCCCCCTCTTGGCCGCTCCCGACAGGTGGAAGCTTCAAGAACCGTGCAAGAATAGCCCGGGGACGGGTTGTCAACTATCTGCTTCGCTATGCTAGAGTCTACGGTGGCTATTCTCTATCTCTCGTCCAAAAAAACCCGCCTGCAAGAGGACGTGCCCGACCTGGTTCCAGGCCGCTGTCCCCCCTCCCCCCCCCCGAGCTGGCCCCCTTCTCGCCCCGTCGCACCTCGGGGCTGCGGCGGCCGCCCGTGGACGAGGCGCGGGAGCCTCCCGGGAAGGCTGCCCCGGCGAGGCGCAGCCGCTGGGAGGCGTCCCGAGTTTGGAACGTTGCCGAGGGAGCCAACGGAAAGGTCCGAAGACCTCGAGTCTCGCATCTGTGCCCCCCCCCTCCCCAGTTACGACTGCCCCAAGTGGCCAAGTGGCCCCAGTCCACTTCGCCCAGTGGGGGCATTCGTGGCACTCTTCTAAGCTAGGTCAGGCCAGATGTGACCCACCTTGGCAGCCACCGATAGCCCCCCCCAGCCCTCAGTCCACCAAGAAGCAATCGACACCACCCCACCTACGACCCGCTGGGGCGCAGGTGCGTCGCATGTGGGGTGGTGGCATAGGTGGGTCCTGGTTGGTCGCCGGTGGGCTAGCGCCTAAACTTTGAGCATCGCTGGGTCGCAGCTACATGATCATGTCGTTTGGTTTCCTGGTCCACGCAGCAGCTCTCTCGCGCCCATCCCTGCTGCCCTTCCCCCCTCCCGCACGCAGCAGCCCTCGCGCCAATCCCTGCTGCCCTTCTCCCCTCCCGCCTCGCCGGCGGCGGCCCGCCCGGACAGGACGACGACCCGGAGGACGCGAACGCGCTGGGCGCGCTTGCGCTGGAGGCCCCCGGCGCCCCCCACCCTGCAGCCCCGAGGCCCCCGACGACCGATCCTCCTCCGCCGCACCTCCGCTGCCTCGCGGGCCCCGAGGCGTCGCAGCCCTCGTCCCCAGGCCTCCTCGCGAGGTGACCAAAATCACGACGGGAGATCTTTCGCTGTTTTCGGCCTCCAGGGGCCCTCGTCGGGCGTCGGGACCGTCGACAAAGCGACTCCCGAGGTTCCATCTATGCTCCTGGGGGTCACGTCGTGAAAAGATCACGACATCGGGGGTCTGGGTCTTCAGCACTCACACACACACACACACACACACACACACACACACACACACACACACACACACACGCACGCACGCACGCACGCACGCACGCACGCACGCACGCACACACGCACACACACACACACACACACACACACACACACACACACACACACACACACACACACACACACACACACACACACACACACACACACACACACGCTGCTCACAGCCTCCGTCGCCGACGCAGCACCCAGGACTCCACAGCAGGGGCCGATCTGATCGGTGTTTTGGCGATTTCGTGGGCCGTTGTCGTTTCGGTTCCGTTTTGCAGCGAAGGCGGCTGGAAAACAGAACGATGGAAAACGAAGCAAAACGAAAACGAAAAACCTTGCTTACGACGATCCCTGCTCCACAGGCCCCGTCTCCAACACACCCCAGTACCCCGCAGCCTCCGTCTCCAAGGCGGCCCTGGCCTCTCTTGTGGCCCCAGTTCAGCGTGCGCGGAGGCCCCCGACGAGTCACCACCTACCAAACCACCCCAACCCAACCCGAAGGCCTCAATTTGCCCTCCATTTCCAGTGGGGGAGGGTCGGGGAACGTTGAAAAAACACATGGTGCCCGTACCCCCCCCAACCCGAAATTCGGGTCAAATTCGGGTCTTCGGGTTGGGTTGGGGTGGTCTGGTAGGTAGTCAACGAGCGATCCTCCACCGTCGTAGTTCGTTGTCTCTCCGCGATAAGAAATATCATAACAAAACAAGTATTTTGGGCGCTCACGTCGGTAGTAGGCGGTTTTCTAGCCTCAGGACGCCTTCAGCAGCTGCGCCTCACCGAGAACGTTCCGGGAGTGCCTGGACTGTCCAGGACGGCCGCCACAGGCTAGAGTTACATTGATAACCCGTGCCAGGAAACACCCTGCTTGCCTCCAGGGTGCCCTGGGTTTCTTGGGTTTCGATGGTTTGGCTATGGAGAGCGTGACTTTCCCACACCAAACATTAGTGGACGTCCTGGGGGTTTAGGGTTGGGTTCCTTGTGGAAGGTTTCTTTTGGTCGAGCTATTGTATGGCTCAGAAAAATCGACAACCTCGCGTCGTGCACGACGATCTTTTTGGGGTCAGTTGCGGCCTCTGGGGTCCCTGGCTGGGCCCAGGGGCGGTCCGAGGTCCACCCGGGACGAGAAGCTGGCCCCAGGCCTAAGACTAGCTTCTCTTCTCTTCCCGAGTGGACCAGCCCCGGTCCAGGCCCCTGTCCCTGGCCAGCGAACGGGCCTGGCCTCCCGGGGGCCGACGTTCTGACAGAGAGAGCGCGACGCCGCCGCCCCGGGCCCGAGACCGGCGTCGCTGCTGCTCTTCCCGAGTGGCCCCGCCCGGGTCGGGCCCCCCCTGTCCCTGGCCAGCGAGCAGGGCCGGACCTCTGGGGGCCGACGTTGCGAGAAAGCGAGCATGCACGCGACGTCGCAGGCCCGGGGCTGCCCAGCCTCCCCCGGCCCGAAGAGGCAGGCGGCGCCGCCCCGCCCGCGGCCCTCCACGCGGCGCCACGGCCCGTCGGGGCTTCCGCAGCGCGTGCCGCGTCGAAGCCCGAGCCAGCACACAGACACAGCCAGTCGTCGATTCCCCCGAAGATATGGGAGAACATAGACGAAAGCCCAGAAATATGAGAAACGATTTGGATGTTTTGAACGTGTGTCTAATTATTTGTTTGTGTGACCCTGGGCCCCACGAATGGTAAACAGTCAACCTTTAGAGGAAGGGCGCACGGAGATCCAATAGGGTGCCCTCGCGTCCTTGCCCCTGCGGCCTGTCCTCCGCGGTGTTCGCTGTGGGCAGCCCGCCACCCCCAACAAAAAAGGTGCCGACTTCGGCGTCCGAGGCCCTGGCGTCCTTGCCGACAGTTCGCGCAGTCAACCCGCATGGTAAGGATGGGCAACCTTCCCCAGGGAACCCTTGCATCCTCGCTTTCTCGGCCCATCCTTGGCCGCTCTCGTTGGCCGCGGCCCGCTCGCAAAGCTTCGACCTGGGCGTCCACGGCCCTTGCATCCTCATCATCCTTCCTATACGGGTTGACTGTGGTATGTCGGGGGCGGCAAAGAGGGGGGTGATGACTAGGGGGGGGGTGGATAGCATGACGGGGGCCATGATATTTCCTCAGTTCTCTTGGCGCCTCTTCTGATTTCACTACGCCCCTGGCCCCCCCGCTGGGCCGCGCACGTGCCGCCAGTCATGATTTGCACCCCCCCCCCCTTGGACACCCCCCCTCTTGGCCGCTCCCGAGTATAGATCTCCGGTCCACGCCCGCCGTCGTCGCCGTCCGCCCTCATCGTCGCCAGCCCCCCGCCTCCCTCCTGCTGCGCCCGGCGCCGGCGATGCCGCCGCCGTGTCCTGCGGCCCTCGCCGGCACCCGCCGCCGGAGGGGGCCGCGGCGCCAGCCTCGGGGCTCGAGGGTCGGGGGGTCGACGCCAGCGGGGGTCAGCCAGGGCGCCGGATCTTGCAGGATCCTGCAGAGCCAGGGGTGCAGAGATAAAACGACACGAAGATCGGGACAAAATCGGATCGGGATAACTCGAGATCTCTGAGACTCGGCGGGTTTGGAGGATGTATCGGGCGCCGCGGCCGCTCCAGAGCGTTCTGGAACGCTCTGAGAGCGCTCCGGAACGCTCTGGAGCGATTTAGCCCGATCCTAGCCCTGTTTTTAAGAGACCCGGGCTAGGGCGCAGGACATCCTGCGGGGATCTTGTTGGATCTCGCGAGGCCCGACTGGCCCACGTTTTGCACTGGCCTGGGCCAGTGGATCCCCGACAGCCGCCCGTCCCTCTCTCCCCTCCGCCTGTCAGGGGAGTCGGAATGCTCGGCGTCCGAAACCAAGATAGAGAGAGAGAGAGACATGGGGGGGTGGAAAGAGAGAGAGAGAGAGAGAGCTACATATATATATATATATATAATACAGAGAGAACGGTGTCTGAGTGCGTGGTCTCCCTCCCCCCTCTTGCTCGGAGACGGAGAGAGGGAGAGGGATAGAGAGAGAGAGAGAAAAAAGAGATAAAGAGAGAGAGAAACTAAAATAGAGAGAGAGGGAGAGTTCGAGAAAGCGACATAGAGAGAGAGAGAGAGTTGTACACATAGAGAGAAATAGAGACACACACATATATATATATATAGAGAGAGAGAAAACAAGAGGGAGTTCGATAGAGAGAAGGAGATATAAACATACAGAGAGAGAGGGAGAACTAGAGAGAGAGAGAGAAAAAAAAAAAAGAGAGAGAGAGAGAGAAAGAGATACATAGAGAGATAGAGAGAGATAATGAGATACATAGAGAGATAGAGACACAGAGAGATGAACATACATAGAGAGAAACATACATACATACATACATACATACATACAGACAGACAGACAGACAGACAGACAGACATACATACATACATACATACATGCATACATGCATCCACACATACATACATACATACATACATACATACATACATACATACATACATACATACATACATACACACACACAAACATACATACATACCTACCTACCTACCTACCTACCTACCTACCTACATACATACATACATACATACATACATACATACATACATACATACATACACACATACACACATGCATACATACATACATACATACATACATACATACATACATACATACATACACACATACATACATACATACATACATGCATACATGCATACATAGAGAGAACCATACATATATATATATATAGAGAGAGAGAGAGAGAACAACAACATAGAAAGAGAGCAAACAAACTCATACACAGAGAGAGAGAGAGAGACAGAGCAGCAGAAAGAGACGACCACATGTGGAGGGAACGGCAGCAGGGCGGACGGCTGGAGCCCTGCACCGACGGCCGCGCGCACAGCCCTGGGCCGCCCGCCGTGCCCGCCGAGCCCTCCGCGCGCCGCGGAGGCGATGCTCGCCGGGGACATGGCCCGCTACGACCAGCTCAACAAGAGGCCCCACGGGCCCTCCGCCGCGGTCCGGGGTGCGGGAGGGCGCCCGCCTCCGCCTCCTCCCTCTGCGCCTCCCCTCCTCCTCCCCTCCTGCGGCCCTCGCCGCTCCCGCTCCGCCTCCTCCTCCTTCCTCCTCCTCCTTCCTCCTCCTCCTCCTCCTCCTCCTCCTTTCTCCTCCTCCTTCCTCCTCTCCTCCTCCTCCTCCTCCTCCTCCTCCTCCTGCCTCCTCCTCCTCTCCTCCTTCCTCCTCCTCCTCCTCCTCCTCCTCTCGTCCTCCTCCTCCTCCTCCGCCTCCTCCTTCCTCCTCCTCCTCCTCCTTCGCCTCCCCCCCCCCCCCGGCCCTCTCTCCCCTCCCCCCCGTCCCAGCACTCCGACCCTCCACCCCTCCAGCCCCTCCACCCTGCAGCCCTGCGGCCCTCTGGCCTTCCCTTCTCCGGCCCTCCGCCGCCCCAGGGGGGGCGGGACGACGACGACGACGACGACGACGACGACGACGACGACGACGACGACGACGACGACGACGACGACGCTCCCAGTCCGTCTCCCCTCCAGGCCTCCAGCCCTCCCCCTCCAGCCCTCCAGCCCTCCGCCCTCGCCCCTCTCCCCTCCCTGGCGGCCGCAGCCCGCCGGCTCTTGCAGTCGGGGTCCTTTCGACCGCGCCAGGGGAGGGGGGGGCTTTTTTGGCCACGCCTGCCGTTCACACGCGGCACCTCCCGTCGACAGAGGCTGGCTCAGGCGGCGCTTGCACCCGCTGGGCCCGGACACCCGCGTCCGAACGGTTGCGATCTCCCCTCTCCCTCGGGCGGGTGGCAACGGGGGATCGTCCAATCTGGGGGGTTGCGAACAGGGCCCCAAGTGGTGGCCTGTTCAGGGCCCTTGTCTTCGCCCCCCCAATTATGGCCACCCCCCATCACCACCCGCCCGATTTCCCCTCCCCTCCCCCTCCATCCTCCCCCTCCATCCTCTCCCCCATGCCTCCCAAGCCATCCCTCCCTCCCTCCCTTCCCGTCCACAGCCCCCCGACGCCCCCCGGGGTGGGGGGGGGGGGGGCGCCCGCTGCTCCCCTCTTCCACCCCCCTCCTGCGGCGCCGCAGAGTGCACGCCGGCTGCCGGGCACTCCTCTGCACGCCTCTGGTTGACCCCAAAGAGGGTCCAGCTGAAACGGGGTGGTGCATCAGATTTGCGGCAGTCGTATTGAAATTGTAGCGCGCTCGAGAACTGTCTTGCGTTGTATTTCGACCCATGCGTTGCACGCGAAAGTCCGGCATTCCATTCGCGCTCCGGACTGTACTGCCAGCACGCCCCAAATCTATTGCAACCCCACGAATCTATTGCACCAGATTCATTGCACCACCACCTTGTCGCTGGACCCCCTTGTGCGTCAACCCGACGAAGACAGCAAACCCGACGAAGAACCGACGAAGAGACGAGACCTTTCTGGCACTGCAGCATTGCCGGCGTCGGGGAGGGTTGGGGGTTCGCTGAGTTGCTTGTCAAAATGCCCATGGGTGGAGTACCTGTCAGTGGGTGCGCTGACGCACCCCTTCAATCCGTCTTCTTCACATGGTTCGAAGAGGACAAGATTGTACAGGCATGGACTTTCGGAGCTCCGTGCGAATTTCTTGCATCGTCGCTCAGGCCCTGGCGGTGCCTCCAATCCAAGGAAGCCGTGCGGGCCTCCAACGGTTGACAGAGGAAACCCGTGCCAAGAAACTCCCTGATTGCCTCCAGGGTGCCCTGGGTCTCGTGGGTCTAGATGGTTTTGCTATGGATAGCGTGCGCGACGGCCCCACACCACAAATCAATGGACGTCCTGGGGTCTGAGGGTTGAGCTCCCACTCTGTGCTGATGCAGCTTTTTCTCGCTGCAGTGGCGGCTGGCGCTGCCAAGCCGAAGCCGCAGCAACGGTCAGGGGCCCACCCCGGCCCCAGGCGGCAGCAGCAGATGCGGATGCGGAGGACGTGCGGGATGGCGTGCAGGCGATGCGAAGAACACATCGCGACGATCCGACCGCGCGGCGACCCTGCGGGCAATACTTCTGTCCATATCCACTGCAGTATGGAGTTTCGGGCTCCCTTCCCAAGTAACCCGAGGCGCACTGGATATGGATAAAACTTTCCCCCCTAGAGGCTCGATTGTTCTCCATATCCAGTGCGCCTCGGCCTTGTGGCGCCGTTTCCAGAAAAGTCCAAGAGGCACTGGACATGGACATGAATCTTGCCCGCAGACCCCGCCGCGGGCGTTCAAAGTTGAACGCCGCTGGCGACCCAGAATCGGTCGAGGTTGATCGACATGACGTTTCGGAAGCGGCCGATCGTTCGGGGTCGAACGACCTCCGCGGTGTCAGAGACCAGCGCCGCAGTCGGCACGACACGAGCCTGCCGCACGCGGCGGGGGGGGCGCTTGCACCAAAACAGCTCCCGTTCACAGTAGCCCCCCCGCCTCTCGCGCCCCCTCTCCTCGCTCCTCCTCTCCCCATTCCTCCTCCCCTCCTCTTCGTGCCCGCCACCCCCCCACCGACGAGCGACGAACGTCTGTCCGCAGCCGCGCCCTCGCTGTCTGGAGTGCGGGGCGCGATCCCGCGGACACGCGGTCGCACGCGGTCGCACGCATGCGTTCCGCGCGAGGCATCTGTGAAGCAGCGCCCCCCGTCTCAGTGCAGGCTGGGAGCAGGCGGCCCCCCGTCGCCAAGGATCCGGCGATCCGCTCACGCCTGCGTCCCACCACACCGCCTCGAGGGAGGAACCAAACCACTCCGACCCCGACGATGGGCGTTCACCAGACGGCCCCGGGCGTGCACAAACGGCCCTGCCCTGTTCGATTCCTGCCCTGCATGCGCTTTTACGAACTGGCCTGGCGTGTCGGGTTGCCGTGACGGGGGTGGCGTGTCTGCTTTCCCTGCTTGCCTCCTCCCTCCTCTCTCCTCTTCGGTCCTCCTCCTCTCTCAGCTCTCCCTTCTCCCTCCTCCCCTCACCTGTTTCCCCTCCCTTCCCCAAATCGCTCATCCCTCCTCTCTCCTCTTCGCTCCTGGTTCCACTCTGGAAGCTCAGCAGGGCCGACCTGGCACGGGACGCTAGCGGAGAGCGGCGGCGGGGAGAAGGCAGCGAAAGGGTTCAGAGATCCGATATCTTGTTCCCCACATCCTGAGTGGGGTTCTTGTTTTCGTAGACCAGCTCCTCCTCCTCCTCCTTCTCCGCTTCCTTCACCTTTATCATACCATACCTGCCATGCCCTACCAATACCATACGTATTATACCATACGTATTATAATATACCATACTTGCCATGCCATACTTATCGTATTACCTGTCATCCCCTACCATTATGAGTTTTGTGCCCCTCCCACCCCTCCAGGGAGGCCCCGCCCGAGCGAGAAGGGTATCCCAAAACCATACTATGTACCAGGTTTCGTGCCCCTCCCAGCCCTCTAGGGAGGCCCTGCCTGAGCGCGGAGGGTATCCCGAAACCATACTAGTTACACGGTGTTGTGCCCATTCCAGCCCTCCAGGCAGGCCCCGCTTGAGCGAGGAGGGTTTCCCAAAACCATAGTATTTACACGGTTTTGTGCCCCTCCCAGCCCTCCAGGGAGGCCCCGCCTGAGCGAGGAGGGTTTCCCAAAACTGTACTATGAACAAGGTTTCGTGCCCCTCCCACCTCTCCAGGGAGGCCCCGCCCGAGCGAGGAGGATGTCCCAAAACCATACTATGTACCAGGTTTCGTGCCCCTCCCACCCCTCCAGGGAGGCCCCGCCCGAGCGAGGAGGGAATCCCCAAACCGTACTATTTACAAGGCTTGGTGCCTCTCCAAGCCCTCCAGGCAGGCTCCGCCTGAGCGCGGAGGGTACCCCAAAACGAAATAATTGACAAGGCTGGGAGGGGCTCCGCCTCAGCGAGGAGGGTATCCCCAAACCAAACTATTTACAAGGTTTGGTGCCCCTCCAAGCCCTCCAGGGAGGCCCCGCCCGAGAGAGGAAGGTATCCCAAAATCATGCCAGATATCTGGTTTTGTGCCCCTCCCACCCCTCCAGAGAGGCCCCGCTTGAGTGAGGAGGGTACCCCACGAAAGAATTAACAAGGCTGGGAGGGGCCCCGCCCCAGCGAGGAGGGTATCCCCAAACCAAGATATTTACAAGGTCTGGTGCCCCTCCTGCTCCTCCAGGGAGGCCCCGGCGCCGAACGACGTCGACGCCATCCTCCTCGCCAACCAATACCATTACCACCACTTCTTTCTTCCACGCCTTCTACCTCTTCCTCTCCGCCTTAGCGGCATTCCTGCTCTTTCTCGCCCGAACTGCTCGGGCCGGGCGAAAGGGGGGGATTGGGAAAGGGGGGGTTACGAAATCTGCTGCATGCAGCTGGTTTCGGCCTCACCGAGGGGCCCATTCCTCGATACATGGCCGCTTCTGGCGCCGGGAGGCGCCGGGAAAATCAGCTACGTGAGCTGATTCTCAAACCCCCCCTTTGCTATCCCCCCCTTTCGCCCGACCCGAACTGCCCATTCTGCACTGCTGATGTTCATGCTGCCGAGCGCGGCCTCCGCTGACCGCGTCCTGCACATCCATCCTCCCCCCCATGCTGCTTCCCCTCCTCGCCTCCGTCGGCCCTTCCATGACAATATATGGACGTCATGGGCCTCCAATGTTTTTATGCCCTCGTGATCCCGCCAACCCCATAACATCCTGATGTGGGGAGCTCCGTCAGCATAATATGTTCAACACGGAGTCCCCAGAAGTGTGCACTCCTGGGGACCCGTTTCTCATCCTGAGTCATTCTATGACGTCCCGGGGCCCAGCGAGGGCCTCTGGAGACCGAACCTAGCGAACAAGAGTAGGTCTTGATTTTTGTCAGTGCGTTGGATCTCTGGGGATACGAAGCTTCACTCCAGAGGCCCAGCGGGACCGATCTGGCGCTCGGGTGCGAGGTCAGAGGGAGGAGAAGCAACACCAACACCACCAGGGGGGGCCACTCCCACTGAGGAGGTCCACGATGCCCCCCGAGCTGCAGGTTGGGGACGTCTCGAACGAGAGTGGGGGACCACACCATCAGGGAGACCCCCCTTGCTCCTCGCATCTCCTCGCCCTGGTGGTGATGGTGTCGCCTCTCCTTGCTCCTAGCGTTGAGTCGGGCACGTCCCTCTACAGGCGGAGCGTTCAAGAACAGCGACGAGAAGAACTCGGGGGGCGATGCCGCGACTCTGTCTGCACACTCTGGCGTACATTCCTTTGATTCTACTGAGTGCAAGGTGTCGCCCAAAAGCCGCCCGTGAGGAGGCCGTGCCCGCCCGCGCCCCAGCAAGGGAGGGGCCCGCCCCAGGCTGGAGGAGCGGCAGGCCGCGCTCGCCGCGGCGGGGCCGGCGGCCACAGGCCCCGCTGCGGGCCCGCCGCCGCCGCCGCCGCACTCGCCCGCTCGCCTCGGCCGCCCGCTCGCTCGGGGGCGCGCGCGGGGGGCGCGCCGCGGGCGCCGGAGAGCGCCGCGCACTGGAGGCTTGGGCGCGGATCGTAAATGGGGGGGCGGCGAGTGTGGTCCGAAAAGGTGCCCAAGTGGTACCTAAACGAGCCCCCTGGGGCTCTGGAGGGGCCCGACAGGGGCACGAAAGGGGACCTTTTCTGACCCCCCCATTTGTGACCCCCCCCCCATTATGCCACGCCCAAGAGGCACGTCCTCGAAGGGGAGTGCACCGCCAGAAGCCGAGGCTGCTCCCGCTCCGCGCGCACGTCTCGGGTCCGCGCCGGGGCCCCCCTCGGCGGCGCCTCCGGCGCCGCCCCCGGCGCGCTGCCCCGCGCGCTGGGGGAGGGGGTCCAGCGCGGATCTGAGAAATCCGCGTGGAGCGCCGAAAGTTGCTGTTTGTGGCGTTTGTGTCCTCATCTATTGAAGCATGTCTGGCTCGCCTGTGATCTCGGCGTCACCTCAGCATACTAATACTACAGGCGCGTCGCCCCCCCCCCCCCCCCAGGGGAGACGCGCGCACCGAGAAGTCTTGTACTGCATATGCGTCGTGGCGGGCGCGCTTTCTGGCCACGCCGCTCGGGAAACGATGTATTGCAGGATGGGTATCCTGCATCAGCCAGAGCGCCAGATCCTGCAGGATCCAGCAGAGCCAGGAGCGCACTGACCTGGGCTTAGGTGCGGGATCTTGTAGGATCCTGCAGGATCTTGCCAGGGTTGGCTGACCCGGGTCTGCATTGCGGGTCAGCAGATCCCCGAAGCATGCTTGGTTCGCATGTGGTTGGTTTCTTATTCATTGCTTTGCCGATCGGCGCTGGCTCTCGCACCCTCTCCCCCCCCTATGGAGTAGATCTTGGCTGTTTCTGGCGCCTGTGTTGCAAGCAGGTGGAGGAAGCACAGGGGGCCCCGCCTCCGCATTGGAGTCCCCATAGGAGCACTGTGCCAAGCAGTCGCACTAAGCAGCTCCTCGGGGGCCGAATCCGAGGGAGGACAAACCACCCCGACCCCGACAATTTGCGTTTACTAGAACCACCGCCCACCAGACCACCCTCAACCCAACCCGAGGGCCCAAATTTGCCCCCCATTCCCAGCGGCGGGGGCGTCGGGGAACAAGAGAAGGACACGTGTGAAACAAGTACCGCGGGGGGGGGGAGGGGGCGTCGGGGAATAGGAAAGAGACACGTGTGGCACAGGTGCTCCCCCCCCAAGGTCGGGTCTCGCGTTACGTTGGGGTGGTCTGGCAGGTAATAATACACGGCCCTGGGCGTTGACCAGACAGCCCTGCCCCTTTTTCGAATAGGAGGGAGAAGAGGAGAAGGAGGACAGGGAGGAGGAGGAAAGGGAGGAGAATGAGGAGAGGGAGGAGGAGGGATGAGAAGGAGGATGAGCAGGAGGAGCAGGGAGGAGGAGGGAGGGAGGGAGGAGGGGAAGGGAGGGAGGGGGAGGGGCGGGGGGGAGGGGGGGGGGGGAGGGAGGGAGGGAGGGAGGGGAGGGAGGGAGGAGGGGAGGAGGAGGAGGAGGAGAGGGAGGAAATGAAGAAGAAGAGAAGAAGAGGAGGAGGAGGAAGGACGCGAGGAGGAGGGAGGAGGAGGAGGAGGAGGAGGGGTGGAGGAGGAGGAGGAGGAGTTCCTTCCTTGGGCGCTAAAAAAAAAAACGGCTTCGCTGCTCGGACTCCACTCACGAGGGCCCCGCCCCCGCTCGGAGGCTCTCTCCCTCGGGGGAGGGAGCGCTCCCGAGTGGCGGCTGGGGCCCGAGCTTCAGACTCCTCGCGGGGGTGGGCCCCCCCAAACACTGGAGTGTTTCCCCGAAGGGCTTGGGCGACCCGTCCTCCTCCTCCTCCTCCTCCTCCAGCTCCTCCTCTCCCTCCCCCCCCCCTCCTCCTCCTCCTCCTCCTCCTCCTCCTCCCTCCTCCTCCTCCTCCTTCCTCCTCCTCCTCCTCCTCCTCCTCCTCCCTCTCCTCCTCCTCCCCTCCTCCCCCTCCTCCTCCCCCTCCTTCCCCCGGGGGCCGAATCCCTTGGCATCGCTCGGGCGTGTGCGTTTTTTTTCCCCCCCCGGCGAAGACCTCCAGAGAACGTCTTGGAACTTCATGCGAACAAAAAAAAACAAGTAAAGCGCACGAGAGCGGCCTATGCGCGGGGAATGGACGTCTGAGCGATGGCGAGACTCCTTGATACTTCCAGCCAGGGCCTGGGCCAAGAAGGGCCGGTTAGTGATTGGGCCCCGGAGTCCGCAGAACTGTCCTAAGTGTTCGTCGGGTGACTGCAGCTCCGGTCAGTGAAGGGGCCAGGGAGGGGGCGTCCCCCGGTACACGGGTCACACGGAACCCAGTCCTGCCAACGCCCTACGAATGTCTCGGACCCACTCCCGCTCAGAAGTTTACCAGCCTCGAACGTATGCCTATCCCTAAGATTGGCACGCCAAAAGGCGATGACAATATTTGGGATTCGTCTTCAAAAAATAAGGGAATCCCTAAGATTGGCATCGTGATGAGGAGAGGTGCCCAGCATAGGGATAGGGATATGTTCCAGGCTTGTAAGAAGTGCGTGTCTCCGAGAACTCTTGCGCGGAGGCGGGACCCAAGATGCCAGCTCCAGGAGCTCACTCCGCACCCCCCTCCACTGGAGCGCTGCAGCAAACGGGGTCCACTGCGTCGGCACTCGCGCGCAAAGCCGCGCGTCAGCGCCCTCGGCACTCAGCGCTGGCGGCCCGCCGAAGCTTCTTGTCAGCTCGCGTGTGACCAGGCTCATTTTCGTCCCTCGCTTGTTGGCTCTGTGCTTCGCGGCTGCCCAGGTCACGTCGGAAGGTGCAGGAGAGAGGGGGTCGTTCGGTGCGGCGATGCGTTCGGAGAACACACCACCCCTTCCAAGATTCCCCGCCGCGACTGCCTCGCCCCAGCTCCCATCCGTGTCAGCCCCGTCACTTCAATGTGCCCCCTCCGCGCGCCCTTCCTCCCTCCCTGCCCTTGTTGGTTTCCCCTTTCCCGCGCTCCTCTGCCCCCTTTACCCCCCCTCCCACATATTGTCTCCTCCCTGCCACTCCAGTCCGCTTGCTTTTTCTTTCCGTCCCAAGCAAAGCCAGCAGTTTTCTTTTGCGCCATCCCATCCTCATTACCTCGGTTCTCCTCTGCGCTGCGCGAAGGCACCGCTGACGGCGTCCCTGAACTGCCTCCGTCCAAACCTCAAGCCAACGTCAAGATTCTGGAGGAGGTGGACTCTGCAGGCCTTCAAGCCGATCCGCGTCCCATGGTGGGCAGAAAACGATTGCGAATGAGGAGATGGAAGACAGGAAGGAGGAGGTGGAGGAGGAGGCTGAAGATAAAGACGAAGATGAGAGGGACGAGTATTGAGATGGGACGAGCTGGAGGGTGAGAAAGAGTCCGAGGTGGACAGAGAAGAAGAGAAGGTGGAGCAGCAGGAGGAGGAGGAGGAGGAGAGGGTGACGGAGGATAAAGGCCGAAAACGAGCGAGGAGGAGTAGGATAAGGAGGGGGATTAGGAGGAGAAGAGGGAGCAGGCAGCACAAGAGAGACAAAAGAGGGCAGGGGGAAAAATGGGCAACGGGATGCTTGGCACGGAAGGAGGAGGAGGAGGATGAGGAGAGACGAGCAGTAGCAGGTAGAGGAGCAGGTGGAGGAGAAGCATCGGACGGGGCTAGGGCCACCCAGACGCCCTCGCGTTGTGACAAAATCACGACGGGATTTGTTTCGTTATTTTCGCCTTCCGTAACTGACTCAGGAATGCTTTCAGGGCTTTCCGGAACGCTCTGAGAAGCCCTCGACGTTGGATAAATCTTGCAGAAGCCGCCAGATCTCAGCAATTCTCGATTTACCTCACCCCGATTGTATCGTCGTCTTGGCTTCGTCTTGAAGCTGCAGCAATTGTGGAGTAGAGGGAGGAGAGGAGGCAGGGTCAGGGTGAAGCGGCTGCAGGTGAATGGTTGTCTCTCTCCCTCCCTCCTTCTCCCTCCCTCCCTCTCCCTCTCTCCCTTTCTGTTTTGTTTGTTTCTCTTTCTCTTTTTATGTTTTTTTTATGTTTCTCTTTCTCTCTCTCTCTCTCTCGCTCTTTCTCTGTTTAAACATATATAGGTATACATACACGTATAAACATTCAGAAACGGTATCTATGTATGTATGTATGTATTTACATCGAGATCTCTCTCTCTATTCATATATACATGCATTTATACTTCTCTACATCTAACAGGGTTCTGGGTCCAGGGGGCCACGGGCCCCAATCACGACCTCAAATGGGAAGACTGGGCCCCTCCGCGTACATTTCGGAAAACCCCCACATCGACGCTGAGGGCGCACAGACAGCCGTCATGACGATCCACGGCGGCCTCGAGTCGTCCCAAGATGGCCTCCAGACGTATCAGGCGGCTCACTCGGCTCCTCCACCACCACCACGCAAGCCGTACATGCAGAAGGACGCGTTGGCACGGCAACCGTTCAGGGTCGCCACAAGGGAAGGTACGAGTATGACTGTCTCACAGAGCACCACAGACCTCGCGCCGGGAAACAAGCGGGGGGAGGAGAGCAGATTATATCGCAGAAAGTGGCTCAGGTACGCAGGCAGAGTTTGTACACTTCTCAAGTCCATTGCTGTCTCGGCCGGCCGCGACGCCTGTGTTCCACCCGAGTGTCTGGCGTGCCGTCTGGATGGCATACGATTTGACGTACGAGCGAACCAGGCCCACATGCTACATTGTGGTACAATTTTGTTTGTCTGCTAAGTAATACTTGAGAAAGGGGCTCCGCGAGGGCTCTGGTTAGAGCGCATGTGTTTCTCGCTCTTGCAAGAAACGAAGGCAGCACACCCAAAACTCGCCGTCAACATCTGCAGCGGAAGCCATCGATTCTGCGTCGATCAGCTTGTAATAGCCAACGAGAGTCGAACGAATACAACAGCCGAACCAGGACGCAGTTCCTCAGCGGCGCAAATTGCCTCCAAGACGCCCCGAGAGTGCTCCAGGAGGCCCTCGACGACGGCTCTGAGAGGCTAAGATCAGCACATGTTTCTGGGTCTCGACTTGTTTTGCTTCTCTCCTTTTCGGGCTTCCGACGAGCCAAGACGGCTCAGGAGGCGCCACAAGTCGCCCCGAGACGGCCCAAGGGGCCTCCAAGAAAGCCTCAAGGGGGGCCCAAGAAAGCTCCAACATGGCAGAAGAGGGCCCCACAACGGCCGAAGAACGCCTCGCGACGGCTCGGGCTCGAGGCCCCCGGGAGAGCTCGCAGACGGCCGAAGCACCTTCAGGCGGTCCAGGGGGGCCCAGGGACGGCCCGAGAGGGCTTCAGGAGGACCCCCACGAAGCGAAAACGGCTCTGGGAGGCCAGAATCAAACGAAAAAAGGGACCCCTAGGCGGCCCAAGACAGTCCCGGGGCAGCCCCAGATGGCGTCGACATTGCCCAACGTTTAGCGGGCGAAGAACGGTCTATAATTTCATGTTTCCGCTTAGGGGACGCCTGCCCCCCGGGCGGTTGGAAAGCTCATACCCCTTTAGTGCCACGTAGGGGTACAAACTTTCCAGCCGCCCTGGGACATGCGTCTCCGACGGTGGAACAGCTTCTTTTATACCGCTCTTACCTGGCGAATCAATAGCCAACAAAAGCCGAGGAACACAGAACGGCACAACCATACATTGTTGGAGGTCCGCGCGGATTTCTTGGATCTGCGCTGCGCCCCCCCCTTGGACCCAGCATGGATCGAAGAAATCTCCGCGGACCTCCAACATTTTGTGTTTATGCCGTTGTCTGTTCTTTGACAAGCCAAGATGGTCACCACACGGCGCCCAGATTGCTCCAGAAAGTCTCAAAGGGCGCCGAGATTGTTCGCATGTGCCCTTCGAGGCGCACGGAAAGCCTTGACTCTAGGCCCCCCAGATGGAGTCCGAGTAGATTGTGTCGGAGGATGGCGCCGCATCGCCGATGCATCGGTGATGCGGCTCGATGTGGAGCCCGATTTTCTCCGCGCCGTCGTCGGCGATGCATCGCCGACGTAGCCGACGCATCGCCCGATGCATCGCCCATGCATCCGCGATGCATCGGCGATGCGGCGCGATCCTCCGACCCCATCAGCTCGGACGCCATCTGTGACACCTTTTTCGAATGGAGGCCCCGGATGGTGCTGAGCGGTGCCACGGGAGCGAAAGCCATATAGAGACATGCTGTGAGGTGCCGGGCGGCCGTGTTGCTTCCCAGGGTGGTGGGGCTGAAGGTGGGCCTCCGAGAGGCCAAGGGGCAGGGTCCGTGGTGGCCTCGGGAGGCAGGGCCCGTCAAGGAGGTGAGGGCGCGGAGAGACGACCGAGAGGTTGGGGTGGTGGTGGAGGAGGAGCGAGCCGGGAGGAGCGCGCAGCGAGGAGGGAGGAGGGGAGGGACGAGGGAGAAGCGGGGAGGCAGGAGCGAAGGGAGGAGCCAACTTCCCACCGAAAACCTGAGGAAAACCTCAGGCAAGCTGCAAAACAATGAAGGAACACGGAGCCCCTCCCCAACGAGAAGGGCTCCTTCTTCAGCGCCCCGCCTCTACCCCCCGACCCGCCAGGGAACGGGAGCCAGTGGCCCGCGCAACAGCCTCCAGGGTGGAAGCGCCCGTCGGACCCCGGTGCAGCGCGCCGACCGGAAGAGCGGCTCAACACAGCGCCTGGACATGATGGGCGCGGGATAGAGTTGGCCTCGCATCATGCAGCCATGGTGTCGTGCCGCTGCCCAGTCGAACGCTAGAACCCAAGCGCGCGCGAAGCGTGCGCGTGGGTCTGAATATGTGCATATGCATAATGGCTCAGCTGGTGCTAGACAGGTGGTTCCTTTCCCATTCCAGGTTCCTTATCGGAGCTGCCCTGAAAGGTTTCGGCAATTCCGCGCGAGTCGAAGTGCGCGTGCTAGGCGGCGAAACCTCGTGATGGTTTGAACGGATTTTCCCCTGGACGCCGAGGAGCTGACAGTAGTCGACTGAAGGCAGTCTATGGTGCTGAGAAGGGTACATCCGTTGACACCGACCCAGTTCCGTTTGGGCACAGACCTCGAGTCGGACATCATCAAACATGAGCGTTCGTCGTAGTTTTGCTGGTGCATGCACTTGCCTAAATACACAGGGTTGTTCGGACTCTCGTGGTCTGTGGTCTCATCTCTCCAGGAAGCAGACTTCCGTACCTGACCTGGCACGAGTGGCAAACGCAGCGTTCCAGAGCTCATTGCCCTCGAGAAGGTACGTTGGATGAAGGTTCGTTCGGACGCGCAGTTGTCGAATCACTTCTGCACGTTGTAGATGTTGCCCCACTCCCTACGATTCCTCTCCTTGCTGCTTTCCACTTGGCATCCTCGTGTATGTATAGCTTTCCGCTTGTTGCCCCGTGCCGGCGCGAGGGGCGCCCCCCCCGCCCCTTGTTCGCAGGCCGCAAGCGGAGCCTGGTGGAGTCCGTCCAGTCCGGCCCGTCTGTCAGGATTCCCCCCAGGGGCGGCGGGGAGGAATTGAAGTCGGCGGCGAGCGAGGCTGAGGGGACCTTCGAGGTTCGAACTTCGAGGCTCAAGGTTTTCTGGCGTTTTCGTCCAGTCTCAGCGGTTTTCCAGCCTCTGGATGCTTGCCAGCGGCTGCGTCTCGCCGCGGGCGTTCCGGGGGTGCCCAGATCGTCCCGAACGGCCGCCGGAGACCCGAGTTACGACCGGAAAATTGAACTCGGCGGCGAGCGAGGGGGGAGAGTGGGAGGGAGAAGGCCCTCTCAGAAAGCGGCGGGGCTTCTCAGAGGGCCTCTCGCACCTTCTGAGGAGTTGTCCGTGTGTCTTCGGGAAGCGCTTTGAAAATTTCTCAGAAGGCCGGGGGACTTCCGAGCTCTCCGAGAAGGCCCCGCCCCATCTCCTTTCCCCCCCGGCTCGCCGCCGCGACGGGTACGGGGGAGCGGGCAGGGCATGGACTCGGAGGAGGATGGGCAGGGGTGCCTGCGAGCACAGGGGCGAGGGGAGGGCTGAGGGATGGAGATGGGAGAGATCCACGCTGTGTGCGTTCGCGCCGAGTCGGAGGAGGGGGAAAGGCACCCCTACCTCTGCCCGTCCCCTGTCTGTCCCTCCTTCTGCGGACCTCCTGGAAGGGCCCCGTCGCCGCCGCTGCGCACTCGCCCCGAGATCCGGGTCAGAACGCACCCTGGAGAGATCCGGTGAGCACAGTCGGCCCGGATGAGGAGGTCGACCCTGCCAGATCGAGGGTGCCCTCGTGTCCTGCGTCTCGCGGCCCATGTTTCCTGCACTGCCGTGGCCACGTGGCCCCTCGGGAAGGGTCTCTCGTGTCCTCTCGCGTGTTCTGTCCGATCGAGTCCGACCGTGGCGGTATCGGTACTGCTTGTCCGCTTCCCCACGAAACTCGGGTGCTGCCAGAGGTGCCCCTGGCCCAGGGTGCCCCCCTGAGTCGTGGGCCTGTGGAGGCCTCTCGGGGCCTGCGGCCCGCTGAGGCCTTCGGGGGGGGGGGGCCTCTTAAGGCCGCCTCGGGACCTCCTGTCTCGGGGCGCCCTGGGGTCCTGCCGGCGGTCTCTCGGGGGCCATCTGGGGTGGGGGGGGGGGGCTCGGGGGGGCCTGGTCGAGTTCCCTGCTCGGGTTCCCCTCTTGAAGGCCTCTTCGGCCTCTCTTGGGGGGTCGACGGTCGTCTTGAGGCGATCTCTGGACCCTCGTTGGCCATGTTGGATGGGCGTGGTCGGACCGGAGATGCGATTGCGTCAGCCGAAGGTGAATTGCAAGATGCATTCCATGAGTTTAGCTCAGGGGCCTCCCAGACGGTCAAGAAGCACCAGCCCCAGAACGGCCCCCTTGGGGCCATCATGCACTGAGCTGGAGCCTCGGAGTTCGAACTGCTCTTCCAGGGCATCCAGGAAGGCCGCCCGACGCCCCCACAGCGCGAGAGCGCACGGCAGTGCGCACTCGGGGCCGCGGAGGACCTGACGAATTCTCGGCAGGGCGGTGTTTGTGGCACTGGGCGGGCGAGAGTTCGCTGATTGGCCCATTTTCCACCACCACTATTATATGTAGGAGTAGGAGGAGGAGGAGGAGGAGGAGGAGGAAGAGGAGGAGGACGAGGAGGAGGAGGAGGAGGAGGAGGACCTCATCCTCCCTTCGCCCCCGACCTACACATGGTGGTGGTGTTGTAAAACTTGCCCATCATTCGCGACCATCAAGTTCGTTGCCGTCTCTGGGTCGACGCCCCTGGGCGCCGACGGAGAGCGCATTGGAGGAGCGCCCCCCAGGGGCTCGCGCCTCTGCGCGGGGGCGAGGTGTGAGGGCCGCGTACGCCGGAGAGGTCCTGGCTCTCGGAGGGTCCTGCGTCGCCCAAGTGATTTGGTGGAGGGGAAGGCGGGGTGCGGGGAGGAAGGGCGACGAGTGCGGGGCGAGGGAGGAGGAGGAGGAGGAGGAGGAGGAGGAGGAGGAGGAGGAGGAGGAGGATGAGGAAGTGGAGGGTAGGTAGTGGAGGTGGAGGTGGAGGTGGAGGTGGATGAGGCGGCGGAGGAGGAGGAGGAGGAGAAGGAGGAGGAGGAGGAGGATGAGGAGGAGTGAGGAGGAGGAGGAGGAGGAGTGAGGAGGAGGAGGAGGAGGAGGAGGAGGAGGAGGATGGAAGAGGAGGAGGGAGGAAGAGGAGGAGGAGGAGGAGGAGGAGGAAGAGGAGGAAGAGTGCGGGGAGGGAGGAGGAGGAGGAGGAGGAGGAGGAGGAGGAGGAGGAGGAGGTGGGCGAGCGCAGATCCAAAGGTCTCCATCGCCAGCCAGAACTAACTAGGGAGTCACATGGTTGAAGAGAGCGGCCACCCTGGCCGCGGTGCGTATTGCCGCTTTGGGGAATATCCGTCCGCGGAGGACACCCATGATATTGTTTAAGGCCGTAATGCGGAAACAGTTGATTTTCTTGTTGATTGGGCCCTTGCAGGCTTCCGTTGACACATGAGATTGGCGGGTAAATGCAGATAAACCACACTGTATAAAATAACGACGAGGGCCTGTGGTGACCAAGTGGTGGCCTCACACAAGCTCATAGGAAGCCTCAGGGTGATACTAGACACAGTTGGCCCCTGCGGTGGCTGATGGGCGCTGGGCAGACTGGACACAGTACTGCTGGAACACGCAGCCCTATCATCGCCAGATGGGGTTGCGCTCTCGCCGCGTCCGCAGACGCCCCAGACTGACCGCTGGTGGGGATGGGGCCCCCAGCGGCCTCCCCAGATCCCACAGGCGACACGGTGGGAGTCCAGTGTCGCGCGCCTTTCGGATGGCTGCCTCGGGCCCCAAGAGGCGGTCGGCAGCTCGAAGAGCGCTGGCGATAGTCTAAGAGGGCGAGGAAGGCAGGGGAGGCGCTGGCAGAGGAGGAGGAGGAGGAGACGGAGGAGGAATAGGGAAGCCTCTGCCTGGCACGGGCCATGAAGCGCTGCCTCGAGTCTAGCCTACTGGTGGCACGTGCTGTGCACCTCGCGCATCTCCTGCCAGTCCCATCCTTGGCGATCTCGTGCCTGGTCTCGACCAGCTGCACGCCAAGATGAGGAGAAGCAGGAGGAGGAGGAGGAGGAGGAAGAGGAGGAGGAGGAGGGAGTTCCGCGGGGGGTGGCCGATTCCTCTCCTGTTCAAGATCCTTGCAGGTCCTGGCGCGGGGGAGGCTCATTGGAGATGACGCGCGGACACGCGGGAGGGCACCAGACCCGCAGGGCCACACTGCCACAGGAGCGCAGGAGGCCAGGGGTGGACCTGAACGGTGTTTGGGCGATTTCGTGGGCCGTTTTCGTTTCGATTTCGTTTTGCGTTCAAGGCGGGTTGAAGACAAAACGAGGGAAGGGAAAACAAAACGAGAGCGAACACACACTGTTTAGGCTCAGCCCTGCAGGAGGCATGTGCGGGCAAGACTTGTGCTCATAGCAGTTGCGACTTGGAGTTGCGGGCTCCCCTCCCCAGAACCCCGAGGCGCGCTGGATGTGGGTAAAACGATGGCCCCTAGAGGCTTGATTCAGTGCACCTCGGCCTTGCGGCGCCCCTTCCAAGGAAGTCCAAGACACATACGATATGGATAGAAGGATTGCCCGCAGCATGTGCCGCGCAACACGGGTCACGAACAATCGATCTCGACGGTAAGAAGCCCCCGCGAAGGCCCCCTCGGAGCAGGCCGACCTCCCCGAATGCCACCTCCTCTGAGATCCTGGCGTTGCAATTGCCTGCGCAAGGGGCGTTCTCGCCCAGTTTCGGGCCCCTGGGGCCCTCACACATCGATCCGGGTCGGAAAACAGCGCAGAAGGACGGGGTCCGAGGCCCTGGCGTGATTCTCACGATGGTGCGAGTGTTTCGCTACGTCGCGTCTCGGGGCCCCCCCTCGGCGGCGAGCCCTGGGGGCAGAGCAGGTGGCGAGGGCCCACTCAGCAGGCTCGGAGGGCCTCCGGCCCTCCGAGCAGTGCGCTGAGAGCCCCTTCCGAACAGCGAAACGGCCCGAGCGAGGGCTTCTGAGGAGCCGCGGCACCTTCTGAGAACGTCCGCCCCTCCTCACTTCCTCCCCTCTCCACCTCCCCCCGGTGTGCCGTCTGCCAGGACGCAGGGTCGCAACAAGCGCGGCACGGCCAACGCAGTGCCCTCCGGCAAGAAGAACGAGAAGCAGGCGCCCGGGTACTACGAGGACGACAACGTCTCCCTCGACGACCTCCTCAAGCGGGAGCGCATCACCGGCGTTCAGGAATGCCTGGTCCTCTTCTCGGTCTCTTTGTCTTGGGTGGCCGGGTGGATCTTCTTCGGGGCCAGGGGATGGGGTCTGGCGCGTTGAGAGGCCCATGAAGACACACACGGGAGCCTTGAAGGAGAGTGCTCTGGAGGTGTTACTCGCCGTTCTCAGCCTCTCGGGGCCTTTCCCGGGCCCTGGGACAGTGCAAATTCAACGCAGGATGAAAAGCCAGTCTCGGAGAGAGCCCTGGGCCCGATCTCATGGCAGTGTTCCTTTTTCTCACCAGAGGCAGAAGCTTTGCCTTTCCGCCGTGCCCCCCCCTCCCCCCCGACCTTGTTCCGCCTGGCTGCTGCGGGGCAGGTCCAGCCCCACCCTGGGGGTCCCGCGGGTCCCAGGCATCCTGTCCTTTCTCGCAGGCGTTGTACCGAAGCTCCTCCTCCCCCTCCTCCCCCTCCTCCTCCTCCTCCTCCGCCTCCCTCTCTTTTCCATGTCTCGCATTGCATGAATCCAGACACCTCACATCCTAGAGGCCATGGCCTCACCCACCTGGTCTGCTTTAGGCCCGGACGCTGTCCGCCACGGTGGTCGCATCGCATCGCACTTCATCGCATCGCATCGCATCCTACTCCTCGTCCTCCTCCTCGTCCTCCTCCTCCTCCTCCTCCTCCCCATTCTCACCGAGCGCGTTCCACTTCTAGCAAAGTGCCTGCTCGCAAACGTCCGACCAAAAAGAACCTCTGTGTAATTACCTCGATGAAGTGGGTCGTGAATCCCCCGAGGCGGATTTCCGAAGCCATGTGCGAGCGGCTACTCTCTGCGAGCCGTGGAACGCGCTGGCCTACACTCGACATGGCGGCTTCGTAGTTGCAGAGCTCGCGATTCGCCAGCGCTCGCGCGCGCAGTCCTCCGCCGCCAAGCCGCCAAGACAACGACGACGACGACGACGACCACGACCACGACCACGACCACGACCACGACCACGACGACGACGACGACGACGACGACGACGACCACGACCACGACCACGACCACGACCACGACCACGACCACGACGACGACGACGGCGACGACGACGACGACGACGACCACGACGACGACGACGACCACGTCCACGACCACGACCACGACCACGACGACGTAGTTGGCAGCGCGGCCCATCTCGCCACCACCGCGGTGGCCCCCTCCAGCCCTGCCCCTCCCGGGCTGCCGCCGACCCCTCCCCCCCCGTATACGGGCCGTCGGCGTCGGTCGCCGTGGTGCCCCCCGGGCGGCGCCTCGCTCCGGCGGCGCGCCCGCGGGGGGCGCCCTCGAGGCGGAGGTTGCTAGTCAGGAGGAGAAGAAACAGACAGACACAATTAATCGTCGATTCCTTGGAAAATATAGGAAAATATGGGAAGTGGGGGGAAGACAGAAACCCAGAAAATATGGGAAAAGATGGGGGGGATCCTGTTATTTGCGTGTGTTTATTTGTGTGTCCTTGGGCCCCTTGCGATAGACCTCCTACCCTGACACGTCGATTCGTGAATCAGCCGTTGTCGGTTCGCGAGAGGGCGCCGCGGCCGTCATGTCTGCGGGTCCACGTCCGTCGGTTTCGGTCCCAGGCCGGTGTCACTGAAGGGTAGCTTATGCAAGGAAGGTTCGTCCACCGCCGATCGAGGGTGCCGAGCTCAACGCGCTTCGCCGTGCGGCTCCGGGGCCTCCTCGTGCTCCCCTTTTTTTCTCCCTCTGGGGGGCGGCGCGAGAGCGCGAGGTTCTCCGCGCTCCGCGAGGGCGGAGCGCGAAGTCCGAGGCGCCCCTGGAGCGGGAGACTCCCCCCAGACGGCTGAGAGTCATTGAGGATACAAGGGCCCCTGGCCCGAAGGAGACGATGAAGACGTCGCGTAGCCCCACTGAGGTCCCCGTTTCCGCAGGGGTAAATACATCTGGGCGGTTTGGTTCGATACACCTGCAGAAAGAGACCCCCCATCCCCAATGTTCCTGACCCTCCGAACTTCTGTCCTCCCCCAAAAGGGTTAGGGGCCCTGTTATGCCTGACCGCAGAGAGCCTCCGGCCTCCTGAGTCTCTCCGACCTATCTCCGAGGCCCCAGAGTTGTGATACCCCAACATACTTTAGCCCTGGCCACCAGACATCATCTCGAGCACCAAGAGGGGCATCGAAACGCTAGGGATTTCACGTGGCGGGCCCTCGGAGGCGACACTCGTTCGGCACTTCGCTCCTCTTGCGATGTTCCTCAGCGTGCTCGAAAGGATCTCTTGGACGCGGTCCGCAAGTACGATGGGAACAGCAGAAGTGTGGACCGCTTCCCCAGGGACGGCTTGTCCTCCTGAGTCGCTGCTGTGACTTCCCCTAATTAGGCCCAGCGAGGGTCCCTGGAGGCCGAAGACAGCCAAACACCGCCCGCTCCAATTTCTTGGGGGGCATCCGATCGTTGCCTGAAAGCCCCCTCCTCCTCCTCCTCCTCCTCCTCCTCCTCCTCCTCCTCCTCCTCCTCCTCCTCCTCCTCAGTGGCGGCCCTGCCCCACTGAGGCGCACCCCTCGCACGTTTCGCGGCCCCATAGTGGGTTCCACCTGCAGCCCCAGGGACAGCGCCCTCCTTGCGGCCGGCCTCATCTCGGCACACCCCTCGCGTGCGTCATGACCCCATGAGGAGATCCCCCGCAGGCCGATGCCCGAAGCAGCGATATTCACAACTGTGCATGGTTGGGCCTTCGCCAGGAGATGTTCTTGGGGGCGTCGGCACTCTGCTGAAGTCGTGCCTGTCCCTCTACAGGAGGAATATGTTTAAAAATATGAAAAGTAGCCTGGGTGACGATGTTTTGAGCATTTTCTGACCATGTTGGGGTATGTTTTGACTATTGTTTGTTTTTCGTCCAAGATCCCCCCGGTAGGCGGACAGGCCCGACTCAAAATCCGGATTCACGAAGGTGAAGCACTGTTAGACTCCCCGCTGCCCCTCCTCGTGTCTCTCTCTCTCTTGCGCGCGCCGCCCCCCCTTCTCTTGCTCTGTCCCTGTTTCGGCGGCGCCGCTGCGCCTGCCTCTGTGTTGGGGCCGGGAGCGGCCTCAAAGCTCTGGTGCCTCGCCAATGGAAAAAAAAGGCAGAGGGGAGGGCGCCGGAGCGAACTCTTCCCCCATGCTGTGGGGCCAGAAGGCCCCCCCCCCACATACTCGAGGGCCCCCTCGGCCTCGGTGCCTCGCTCCTCCGAAAGGGGCCCAGGGGCGCACAACAATAAACAGACACAAACATTCCAGGATCCCAGGATCCCCCATATCCTCCTCCTCCTCCTCCGTCTGCCTCTCCTCCTCCTCCTCCTCCTCCTCCTCCTCCTCCTCCTCCTCCTCCTCCTCCTCCTCCTCCCCCTCCCAGGGGAGCAGGGAGACACAAAAATCCCAGGATCCGCCATATGCCCATATGTTCCATGTGTTCTGTGTTCTGTTCTTCTCTCCCCACTTCCCACATCTCCCCCTCCTGTCCTGGGGATCGACGATGCAGCGTCTCTGCGTGTCTTTTTCCCTGCGGCTCCTCGCCGGGGCGTCCTGGTGGCCCCGTCCGCTGCCGAGCAGAGCGCGGAGTCATCGGGGGCTGTCCGAGGAGGGCCGCTGTCAGGGGCAGCGATAGGGGGAGATAGGCATACAGTGGGGGCGCGCACCAAGAAACCATTTTTGCCTTTCGTCAGGGTGCCCTGGGTTTCTGCGCTCCGCGCGCTGCGCGATGGCTTCCCGCGGCCGTCGGAGAAGCTGCTGCGTTCAGAGTGCTCGGGGTTTCTCCTCAGGTGCACCTCGAGCGCGGGTTTTCAGGGTTGGGTTTCTTGCGAGGGTTTCTTGCGGCCGCGCCCGCACTGTAGGGTTAAGTCGGGCGTTCCCTTCTACAGGAGGAATCTTCGAGAATAGTGCGAAAATAGACCAGGGACGATTTGTGGACTATTTTTGGATATGTGTGGTGTCTCTTTTTTTGTTTCTTCCAAAATCCGCCTGTAGGGGGACATGCCCGACATAAGGGTGGGCAAATGTGGGGGGTGCAGCGACCCCCAATCGCCCATTGCTCGCCGATAGCCCCAACCCGCCTACGAAGGTGCGAATTCACTATCGGAGGCCTGTCGCCGATGTATCGGCGATGTATCGCCGATGCCAGGTCGATGCATCCCCCCCTTTGCCAGTCCCCCCCTATCGGTTCCCCCCTCGTTGCCCCTATCGTTGCCCTGGTAGCCCTGTAGATCACACGCAAGCGCGCCGGGGACGGCGGCAGTACAGGGAGGGTTTCGGGCGCAGTCGTTTGTGACCGGCGGCTCCCCAGTCGCAGAGTGCCTCTTCCAGCGGATGCGCCTCGCCGAGGGCGCTCCTCGGGGGTGCCCCGATCGACCCCAGCGCCCGCAGGACAGCCAAGGTATGACCCCGAAGCCAGGGCGCAACGACTCAGGAGGGAACCAAAACACAGAGCCAATTCATCGTCGACTCCCAGGAGAATATGGGAAAATATGGGAGGTGGGGGGGGGGCGACGAAAATCCAAAACATATTGGAACATATAGGGAATTCTGAGAGTTGTGTCTAGTCATTTCTGTGTCCCTGGGCCTCTTCAACGACAGGGGGCGAGTGGAGAGGCAACGGCAGCCGGCCCTTCGGAGGCCCTCTGTCGCCGCGGCTCGAGGCAGCGCGGAGGGCCGTGGTGCCTTCGGACCCCGGGAGGGTTCCGGGGACCGACGTTGCATTCCCAGCGCCTCAGTCTCGAGCAGCCCTGCTCCGCGGCCGGCGTCGTCGCGCAGGAGTGCGCGGGGCGCCTCGGACGCCCTCCTCGCCTGCCGACAGGCCGCCTCGGAGGCGCGCGGCCCCCCTCCGAAGAGGCCCTCGGCCCTCTCATCTCTGGAGGCGCCCTCCGCGGGCCCCGCCTTCCCCCCGATGCGCGCCGTGGGGATTGGCTTCGGCCTCTGCCGCCGCAGTGTGGTCCATCCCGCCGCGGCCACGCCACTCCTCCTTCCTCCCTGCACTTTTGTGTCGGTTGGCACAGATCTTCATCCCAACGGTGGCGTCCACCCGCGCAGCAAGGACGATCGACTTCCCAAGGGTGCCCTTGCGTCCCTGCCTCTGCGGTCATCTCCGGCCCATCCTCGACCACTTTCGATGGCCAGCCTCGCTCGAAGAGCCTCGGCATGAGTGTCCAAGGCCCTTGCACCCTTACCGCGCATCCTTATTATACGGGCTGAGTATATTCTTCGAAGAAAAAACGCTACAAACATAAACTGTCGGCGCTCGGCGCGGACCTCTTGGATCCGCGCCGCCCCTGGCGCGCTCCGCGCGCCAGGGAGGGGGATCCCGCGCAGATCCCAGAAGTCCGCGCTGAGCGCCAAAAGTTTCTGCTTATTGTGGTTTTTCTTTCCCCAATTCCTTATTCCAGTCGCGGTAGGGGCCCTCTCTCGCCTCCGCCTTGCCGCCTCTCCTTCGCAGCAGACGCCGTTGGACGGAGGCGAGCTCTCCGTCGAGGATCCCCGCTGACCCGGTCATCCGTGCCTCGCACGCAGGTGCTCATGCGCCCATCGGTGCACGCTGTGGCCTGACAGCTCGGCACCCTCGATACGGATTTGAAGTGGAACGCGTCCATTTTGGCACGCGCACATGCGCAGTTGGGATTGGCGCCGTATTCTCCAAGCTGTTCCATTTCAGTAGGGATGGAAACACGCAGACACAATGAATCTTCGATTCTCAGGAAAACAGTTGGAAATAATGGGAAATGGAAGGGAGGACGAACGTCCAGAGAAACTGGAGAAATATTGGGCATCCTGGGATGTGTGTGTGTATTGAAGGCGTTCCATGCAAGGGCTTTGCTTCAGCGATCTCTTCCTCGGTGAAAGGTGGCAGAAGGTTGGCGGAAGGCGGCGGAAGTGAAACGGGGGCGGCTCCGCCGGTGGAAGGCCTGAGGAAGGCGGCGAAAGCAAAACACGCGACCCCAAGAGATGATAACGTGTTTGATTTCAGGGCTGCGGGAATCAGTCATTTCTTTTTGCGTGTCACCCATGCTCGTCGGAAGCCGCCTGCCAACCCCCCACGGGGCACTCGAAGTGTCGGGATGGGCATTTTGGGGGGAGGGTGCCTCCGTCCGCCCTCCTGGTGCCGACGTGAGGGGCCTGCTTTCGGGCGGTGCCGCTCTTGGCGATCTCGGTGCGCACGGGGGAGAGGAGACGTCGCCGAACATGTACGGATGCGTACGGTCGGACTGGGGTATAAGATCGAGGTCGGTTCGGGGAGGGTACCCCAGTGTTCTTCGTGTGCGTGCGTGGTATGTGATTGTGCATCCTGGGGAGGGTACCCTTGCATGTTCTGTGTGGTTTGGCCGGCGGAGAGTCTCAGGTTCTTGAGGGATGTGTTTCTGGCCCAGGTCCGACTGTACATGTTTCCAGATGTTCCGACTTTCCAGTGGTTCGTGCAGATCATGACTTCATAAGCAAGCTGATCGTAATGTGCAGTACCCCGCCAAGGGCGTTGAATCAGCCGGAGGGTGTGGCGAAGCATTACCGAAGATGATACATGGAGGATTGTCCGTTCCCGTTCTTCCGCCAGGATTACGACCATAACCTCTCCAGCCACATCTTGAAGAAGGGCTCTAAGTTCAAGATGTTGGAGGACTGTGCGTTCGATGCTATCGGACCCAAAAGCGTATAAATGCTATGTTGATCAGGGGCAGCACTGCACCTTCGAATGTCGATTGCGTCATTCAGTTTACTAATCAGACGCACCTTGCCGCGAGCTCTCCTGGAGAGCCCCAATCGCTTTCGACCACCCTCTTAGGCCCGATCTATGTTTCGAGGAAGTCGGCCCAGGTCGGATGTTTGGGGGCCAGCCCAGTGCGAAATGAAAGTCTCCGACCAGGACAGCGATTTCGGGTTCGGCGTGCGAGAAGAGGTGATGCTAGTCTGTTGCGAGAGGCACTTTGACGTCGCAGCGCGGCAGAGGCAGTCCGCACGCACGCTCAGGCGGTCCTCAGGCGGTCCGGGCAACGGGAGGCGCAAATGAACGGGCGGCGGGGGGAGGGAGAGACAGGCGGGCGCGGCCGCGGAGGAGCAGGGGAGGGCAGGGCGCTCATCTGGCGGGCGACGCCGCGGAGCGGCCGGGGCGGCCAGCCAGTGCTGCACCCCTGGCAGCGGGCGCGGGGCGACGTCGCGGCCACCGTTGCGAGGGACGCCCTTCCCCAGGGATCTTCCGCGCATTCGCCAGCTCGGGTTCCCCGTGGGCTGATCCGCCAGGCAGGCTGCCGCCGCGCCCGGTCTGGCACCTCGCCCCGTGTCCCCACGGGGAACCCCACCTGCAGGCCCCCGTGGACGGGGGTTCGGCCCGCCCCCCACCCACCTCCCAGGAAGCCCACCGAGGCACGAAAGAAGCGCGGCGGGAGGTTCTTCCAGTGTCGCTGCTCTCGGCCGCCGGGTGCCCTCACGGGGCCTCGGGACCAACCAGCAGCGACTCGGGATGAACAGCCCGTCCCGGGGAGCGTGTCGAGACCTCAGGGGTCGACGTTCTTATATATATATATATATATATATATATAACTTATTATTATTATTATTATTATTATTACTATTATTATTATTATTCTTATTATTATTATTAGTAGTATTAGTATTACCATTGTTATTATTATTAGTATTACTACTACTACTAGTATTTTTATTCTTCATTATTATTATTATCATTATTGTTATTCTTAGTATTATTATTCTTTTTATTAGTATTATTATTATCAATATTATTATTATTATTATTATTATTAATATTATGATTATTATTGTTGTTGTTGTCGTTGTTATTATTATTATTATTAGTATTATTATTATTATTATTATTATCAATATTATTATTATCATTATTATTATTATCATTATTATTATTACTAGTATTATTATATTCTTTAAAACAAACAATATGTTTCGGGGGTCTGTGGGCCGGCAGGCGCGAGCCACGTTTCGAGTCCCCACAGGGAGCCCGCTTGCGGCTCCAGTGGGAGGGCGCACGCGCCGCCACGCGCAGAGGGGGTATAGGGGGAGCGGGAGAGGCTCCTTAGAAACGGCCCTGCTTCTCAGAAGCGGCGGGCCTTCTTTGCAGACGTCCGGCCCGCGCCTTCTCAGAAGCAGCCTCCTCCTAGGAGGCCTTCCCCCGTCCCCCGTTTTCCCCCCCTTCCCCCTCCCCCCCCCTGCCCCCCTCCCCCCTCCCCCTCCCCCCTTCCCCCTCTCCCCCTTCCCCCTGTGTGCGCGCCGCCAAGGGGAGGGCGCGCGTGCCGCCGCGCGCTGCCTCGTGTCCGCGCCTCCTCGCGCGCGCTGCTTCGTGCCCCGGGGGGCTCCGCCTGCGGCCTCCGCGGGAGGGCGCTACTGTGGCCGCTCCTCGCGCTCCTGCTGGCGCACGTCCCTGCCGCGCTCCCTGGCTCTCCTTTTAGGTCGGGCCTGCCCCTCTGCAGGGGGAGTATTCAAAAATAATTAAAATAGTCGGGGGGCGATTTTAGAACTATCTTTAAGCAGTTGGATGGTGTTTTTTGTTAAAAATAATCTTTTAAACCAAGTTTCGTCGAACATCCCCCTGTAGGGGGACAGGCCCAACCTAAGGCTCCGTGTGAAGTTGTGCTGGTGCGGGCGGCTTGCCGCACCGCGCCCATTTCTGCTGGGCCCGGCCTTCACCACCACCTCCGCCATAAGTTGGATGGGGGGAGGAGGAGGAGGAGGAGGAGGAGGAGGAGGAGGAGGAGGAGGAGGAGGAGGAGGAGGAGGAGGATGAGGAGGTAGGAGGAGGAGGAGAGGAGGAGGAGGACGAACGACGACGGAGGGAGGGAGATGACGAGGAGGAGGAGGAGGAGAGGAGGAGGAGGAGGAGGAGGACCCCCTCCTCCTCCCACTTTTGGTGGTGGTGGTGGTGGCGGTGGTGGGGAGCAGGGCCATCAATGTCGGTATGCCCCTCCCACGCCGCGCGCCGCCCCCACAGGGGGGCTGCACCTGCGGGCCCCGCCCGGGGTCTTATGCGAGTGCCGCCCCCCCGCGCCCACCTCGCCACGTCCTTCGCCCGCGCGGCGTGCCCCCATTGAGGGGGTTCCGCCCGTGTCCACAGTGCACACCCCTCGCACGTCCCGTGCCCCCACAGGGAGCTCCATCGGGCCCCTTCTGTCGCGCGTCGGCTACTTGCAGGAGTTCTTGTTCCTTGTTCTGACGATGACCAAAGGGTGTGTGTGTATATACAACAACAACGACGACAACAACAACAATAAATTTAAGACTGTTCGCCCTTATCTGCTCGAGTGCCCAATAACGCGTATTTCCCAAACCCTCGATCCCCGCCCTCTTCGTCTTCGATCGAACCCCTTTGGGGGGTATACCTTTCTTCCCTGCAGGCCGGGCCCCGGCAAGCGGCGGGGCGGCCGCGGACCGTCGGCCTGGCCAGCGGCAGCGCTGATCGGCGGGGCGGCCGCGGACCGTCGACCCGACCCCAAGAGGGACGGACAGGGGACCGACCACGACGACGGCGACGACGACGACATCGAAGACGACGGCAACGAAGACGACGGCGACGACGAGCGAAGGCGAGAGCGAGAGAGAACGACAGCAGGGCCACGAAGGGCACGAAGTAGGCCACGAAGGGCGACAGCAAGGACACGAGTGGAATGCGTATGGGGCCACGAAGAGCGCGAACGAACGGGGGCCGCGAAGTGCAGATAATGCGGGGCCACAGAAGGCAACTATGGGGCCACTGAGGGTAGCAATTGGGCCACGTAGGACAGTGAGGGGGACACAAATGGCGACAGCGGGGCCACGAGGGGCATGCACATGGGGCCACAACGGGCGCGACTCCTGGGTGCCTGGGTGTCGGGAGCGCGGCGCTTGGGCAAATTGCCGGAAATTCCAACGCAAGGCCATTCTTCAGTAAGTTACAAGCAAGTCTCCAGCGAGAGCGCGACTCCAGAGCGCCGGGAGAGCGATTCCGGAATGAATTGTAAGGAAGTCCCAAGCGAGAGCGCGATTCCTGAATAAAATGCGAGGAAGTAAGTCTCGGGCGGGAGCAGGGGTCCTTGCTAAATTGGAAAAGGTCTCAGGCGGGAGCCGTTGTTGTTGTACCCCGGGGGGCATGGGCCCAGTTTGACAAGGAAAATTTTCCCTATCAGAAAACAGGGTGCGAGCGTCGAGGGGTGCACTTTGATTGAGAAAAAACAGTATGCACCGGTGGGGGGATCAACAATACTTATTCTTCAGAGTTGCCACAGCAACAACAACACCAGCAACAGTAGCAGCAGCAACATCAACAGCAGCAGCAACAACAACAACAAAACGGCCCCAGTGTGTGCGGACGTTTTCCGCCCCACGCCCATGCCGCGCATGCGTCCCCATACCCATGCCCCATGCCGTGCTCCGCAGGGAGTTCCACCCACGGCCCCAACGAGCCAGTTCGCACGGCTGCGGCACCCACAATGCCGGCACACTCCTCACATGGATCGTGCCAGGAGATCTACAGCCCCGGGGGGCCAGTTCGCATGCGGGCGCCAGGCCAATTTCGGCTCACCACTCACGCGGACATCGTTCCACAAAGAGTTCCACCTGCGACCTCAGTGGGCCCGGTCGCATGACGGCGGCGCGTTAATTTCGGCGCAGCTCTCACACGACTCGCGGTCTACAGGTGAATTCCATTTCCGGCTCCAGTGGGTCAGTTCACGCGGCGGCGACATGCCGATTTCGGCGCACCGTTCAGGCAGGTCGTGCATCGCCAGAAGCCACGCCCACGGCCCCAGTGGGCCAGTTCGCATGGCTCCATGTCTGCGCACTTTTGACACGGATCGTGCTCCGCCGATTGCCCCGATGGGCGAGCCCGTAGAAGACTTCGTGGCGCACAGTGTAGGAGGAGAGGATCACCCTCAGCTCGATCTGCAGCTGCATAGGGTTGGGCCATTCGCGATGCTGCAAGCTGCCGCCTCGTTGGCCATTGCTCTTCTCGTCATCTGATGCTTCCTCGGCGTTCTGGACACGCTGTAATGTTCCGGTTTGCTTTTATGTTGGTTGTTCCTTCCCCTGCGCCCCGCGAGCGGCGGAACAGACGTCTTCAGTTCAACAATATGCACAATGTCGCGGCTTTTGTTTCAGCGCTGTGGTATCTAGCACAGGACATTGGTCACGCCAGTCGTGGCGCATGGAACGGCTGGACCACTTATCGGTTTGCGTGCAAAGGTCCTTGTCCTGCCAAGTGTCGCGCTACATCCTTCAGTCACACCATCAGGCCGATAACACAGTTGCTAGAATGCGGTGCCAGCCCAGTCCCTCTCCCTCGCTCCCCATCTCCCCCTTTGCCCAGCCATCCCCCCTTCCGCTTGCACCTCCCTCAATGGGAGGAGGAATACGATGAAGAGTACGAGGAGCAAGAGGTGGTGGAAGAGGAGGAGGAGGAGGAGGAGGAAGAAGAAGAGGCGGAGGAGGAGGAGGCGGAGGAGGACGCTGACATGTCCAAACGATTCCTTCGCAGCGCTATCTGGCTCAAACCATCGAAGCCCCCGGCCAGGGAGCATGATTGTTACTCGCGCAACAGCCGTCTTTCTCGTTCTGCGTGCGGGGCGTGCCAACGCGGGTTGCTAGGTCGCGGCCGATTGGTACTACCATCCTTGTTTC